AAGCTATGGAATTGGAGTGAGTACTGGCATATAATGCCACCTAGAGGTTTAGTGTACTTTGAGAAGAGGATGGGTCCAAGAACCAACCCCCTGTGGAACCCCACACTTCAACTCCTTGCTGTCTGATGTGACACCATCAACTTGGCTGACTGACTGAGTTTGGTTTTATGCCGCTTTTAGCAATATTCCAGCAACATCACGGCAGGGGACACCAGAAATGGGCTTCACACTCGTGACGAGCCAACGCTTTAACCACTAGGCTACCCCACTGCCCCGAATGAAGTTGGCCGGACATGGACCTCTCATCAAGATATGACTCAAGCCATGCCAGAGCTGTTCCTGTAATCCCCAACGTGTACCAGAGACATGATGTCAGGATGCTGTGGTCTACTAAGTCAAAAGCCGCCGAGAGATCAAGTAGCACAAGAAGAAGACGGTAAATAGAGTGAAGAATGTCGTGGCCTCGAAGCAGCACTGTTTCCGTTGAGTGCGTTTTCCTGTATGCAGGCTGGAAAGGTTCTGACAGTTCATGGTCAGATATATGCCTACTTAGTTGAGCAAGGACCACTTCCTCCATTACTTTCGAGAAAAGGGCAGGTTGAGACCGGCCTAGAATTCCTTAAGTCCAAATGATCCAAGGATGCCTTTTTAAGTAACAGTGTAACAAGTGCTTGCTTGAAGCAATGTGGCACTGTCCCTGAGTCCAGGGAGCAGTTGATGACTGAACACACTACTGCCACTGACGGCATGCAATGATGTACGACGTTGGAACTGGGTCAAGAGAGCAGGATTTACAAGGTGCCATCCGAACTATGCTGGTCACATCCAGTTCACTGACAGGAATGAACTTCTTAAGGGTGGTACCACTGAACTCTGCGTCATCTGAACAGACTGACTGACTGAGTTTGGTTTTACGCCGCTTTTAGCAATATTCCAGCAATATCACGGCGGGGGACACCAGAAATGGGCTTCACTCATTGTGCCCATATGGGGATTCGAACCCGGGTCTTCGGCGTGACGAGCCAACGCTTTAACCACTAGACTACCCCATCGCCCCTCATCTGAACAGAGGGGTCTTGACTAGACTGTTGGTATGAAATGTATTCCACAATTTTCCACCCCTTGTCCGAGAAGAAATCAACCAAGCAATTAGCGTGCAGTTTGGAATCTGATGGACACCTTCCAGAACTGGCTTCCTTGACTTCTGTTAACTTCTTCACGATCGAGAATAGTTGTTGGTGTTGTGTCTGTTCCCGCTGATGCTATCCTTTATGTGGGAAATTTTGGATTTCTCGATGAGTACATTATTACGAGCATATAGGAAGATTTGTCTGTGGACCACAAGTTTGGTATTCCTCTAGGTCTTCTCAGTTCGTCATCGTTCATGCTTTACTTTCAGTATGTCCTTGTTAATCCAGTCTGATTTAGGCCACATGATGATATTAGCAGTTCATACAGGAGCATTACCTTCACATGATAATGTTACACAATTGGTTTACTCTTCAGATTCCTTCTCACATCACTGTGGAATTTGTCAACATTAATAACGCGCGTCTTTCTGTACGCGATTGATTTCTGTACATTATGCCTTTAGTGCTGAGTGCCAGGCAACACTAAATACCATCTTCTGGTATGAATAAACAAATGACCTTCCACTTTCCAAACAGATGCTCCAGCATTATGCCAAGGAAGTTGTCTCATTCATAACAGAAATTATGCATCAACATTTGAGAAGTGAATGAATATTTTCTACACATTTCTTGAAAGAAATCAAGTACAGCATACCTTTGCACAATACAACAGTAGCTTTTTGGAAAACATCTCATTAAACCGACTGAGTGAGTATGGTTTTACGCCTCTTTTAGCAATATGCCAGCAATATCACCGGTGGTAACACCAGAAATGTGGGGAATAAAATCCGGGTCTTTGGCGTGACGAGCGAACACTTTAACCACAAAACTACCCCACCACCCTTTTGCAATCGAGAAGTCTGCCAGCATGACTGTACTTATTTGTATTGAATTTGAATATCTTCTAGTCAAAACTGCCTACACAAATGTCATACATCTCAAACACGTTCTGCTAAAGACCACCTACATCAATGGACATATTCCAAAATATCTTTTGGTTAAGACTGATAATAGAACATTACAGTACATATCACCAAATACCTGATCAACATTGTCTACACAACACTGTTGTACATCTCTCCAAATAGTGGCAGACAAACTGCAGATAGTTTCACATAGTATTAGTAATGTGCCATACTCACTTTACCATGGAATCATGCAGGGTTTGGCCACTCTGTGTCTGAAACACTACAAGCTGTGATTAAAACTCTTGAACATACTAAAACGTGGTAAAATTAATGGTGCATTTAAGAAAATAATGTAAAATTAACCCTGGAAGCTATGTTTACTATAGGCATTCATCCGGGGTAGAATAGGTCTTCAGCAACCCATGTGCTTGCCATAAAAAGGCGACTATCTTGTCGTAAGAGGCGACTAACGGGATCGGGTGGTCAGTTTCGCTGACTTGGTTGACACATGTCATCGGTTCCCAATTGTGCAGATCGATGCTCATGCTGTTGATCACTGGATTGTCTGGTCCAGACTCGATTATTTACAGACCGCCGCCATATAGCTGGAATATTGCTGAGTGCGGCGTAAAACTAAACTCACTCACTATAGGCATTCAGAGGTATACTATCTGACTTCAAAAGAAAATTACTACCCTCTCCTTAGCAAGTTATGATGCAGGTCCCATATTGTAAGGCTGAAGGGGTCGTCGTCAGCACAGGTACTACAGATATCTACCATAAACAAATTCAAAACACAGAAAGGTACCCGGTACGCTAAACAGGGGACAAGTCCATAATTCGCAACCCCAACCCCAAACCGAAACTGTATGTAGTTCAGCTTTAGTAAGACTACCGTTGACAATTAGCTCTTATTCTTCTCTGTTTCTTATATGGCACAAGAAGGCAGGGAGTAGATATAAAGGTATTTAGACAACTCAGAGGCCCCAACTGTGCAGCAAATATTACTACAAAATCCAAATTTTAACAACAATTTACCCAATTAATTTTAACTTAGTTTACACTGTAATAAGTAATGTTTATAGCTTTGTAGGGGTGTACTATAGTTTACTGACCAATTTGAGCAAATGAACAATGTTAATGACTGCCAACAATCCTTAGCATTGATCTCTGCATTTTGTTGTGTATGGTCTTCCTTCAAAACAAAGTAATATCCACTTGTTCTAAGAAAACTGTAATCATTAGTGGCCGTGTGAACTGAACAAATAATAATTTTGTTAGTTGATTTAGTGACATATACGTTGCTTTCCTTAAATAGTAACAGAAGAGTGTTTGTTTTCATTTGGGTACAGGTTACAAGGCTTTACAGAGTTTTAGCCAACGCAATGCTTGGTTCATCTTTGCTGAAAGACAAGTGCCTCTGGCGTCACATAATTCCACCATCCAGTATGGTTGAGGGGGTCGTTCGGCATGGGTACTACAGATATGTACCCCAGTAACGTACCCTAGGACGATTCCATTCTGCATTGTGCTGTTTTCTTCATACTGTCGTACTGTCATATTAGATACATTTGATTGCGTTATATAAGAGCATACACAGTAACGAATATCTTGCGGTGCACAATGTACACCACTCGCAATCAGCTTAACGGGAATAACTACATACGGTTCGGTATTGGGTTGTGGAATATGTGGTTTAGGGTACCAGGTACATTTCTGTAGTTTGACTTAAGGGTACATGTCTGTATACAGAAACGTACCTGGGGTACATATCTGTAGTACCTGTGCCGACGACCCCTTCAGCTCCAGTATGGCTGAAGGGGTCGTTGTCAGCACGGGTACTACAGACATGTACCCCTGGTACGTTTCTATATACAGAAACGCACCCTGGCCATAATGAGAATACAGAAACGTACCCTAGGACGATTCCGTTCCCATTGTGTCGTATTCTTGATCGGAACTGTCATACTGTTGTATTAGATACATTTGATTGCATTATGTAAGTAATGAGAATACACAGTAACGGATATTTCGCGATGCAGATGAATACCACACGGAATCAGTTGAACGGGAACAACTACATGCGGTTTTGGATTGCGGAATATGGACTCGTCCTCCTTTTGGGGTACCGGGTCTGTTTCTGTATTTTGACTTTGTTTAGGGTACATATCTGTAAACTGAAACGTACCTGGGGTACATACCTGTAGTACCTGTACTGACAACGACCCTTTCTGCTCCAGTACGTATTTACCCACAGTACAACTTATGACCTTTTGATATATGAAGAGAATGTGCACCATGATGACCATTGGTTGCTGTGTCTTCACTACCATGACAATGTTGTTGCAACAATGCAACAGTACATAACAACTGTTTCGCCATCAACCTTGAAAAATATGGCTATGTTCAGGCTTCAATTTCACACCCACACAATAAGTAAAAAATCAATAGAGATCTTCTATACATACTAGACTTCTACATATAGACCCACTAGAACAACATATCATCTTCAGTCTTATTGATGTATACAATTATATAATAGACAACATTCGTTTCTGTTCTCTCATACGCGGTGTCAGCTGGAGAAAATCACGTGGGCTCCCGGCACATGGTGCAAAGCGCCACCTGTCAACATGACCTCGAGGTCACACAGTGCCCGGATGGAAATTGGCATTCTCAACCCACACGTACTATATTATAATACAAAATACTACACTTACATATATCTAGCGTGTGTTTTTAGCATTGTTTGTCATACTTTAAACCCTCTCCTTTGAATATCCGTGGTTATTCCAGTGTCAAACTCCTGATTTAAGACGCAATGGATAAAATAACCACTAACTGTCTACTTCCTCAAAACACCAAAGGCTGCCATTTTCATATCGACTGCGCAGGCGCAACGCGCAATCTCGAGACACATTCCGCATTCACGGACCGGTTAACCAATCACCATCGAGGACTTTCCATGACAAGTTGTTGTTCTCATCGTGGTTCTCTGTTGACCGTCCCGAACTTGTTGATCAAATAATTCATGTTTTCAACGATCATCACCTGAGATTTATCCAAAAATTGTCTCCGATTGCTGTATAGTTTCATCGGTGACAATCTGACAATGGTACGTAGTGTGATAATTTTGCATTTCATTCTCTAACGAACGCCTCGAATCTCCTGATCATGTTTTGGAGTCATTCAATCCAGTATCAGTGTGATTTCGCTGAATGTGTTTCTAATTCCAACAATACGGAATTGTACAAACCTACAAAATAACTAACGGGTGTTTCGAAGTGTATTAGGTATCAGTTTTATCTGGTCTTATTCTGAGTAGCTGTTATTGGGAGACTTGAAATCAGATTGACAAGCCGCTAGGTCATTTTTTCTGACGTTAAATGCAACATAAGCAATGACATCTAAACATGATCTGAGGTTGATGAAGGTGATGTAGTGTCCCAATTTGCTCTTTTCGTATTCCGCACAACATTTAAGAAGTTCATTTATCACCTTCGAATACGTTTCTTTATCCATACGCATTTGTCAAGCAACACTTTCAGAATATTGATTTGGCTAAAAGCCAGCTGTTTTCGACTCGTGTTGGAATGGCAGCCATCATGACGCATCCAAACATGGCCTCACTTATTTTGACAGCTCTCCCGTACCCGAATGTAGTATATGTCATATCTATCTTTTAATCCTAACGCAGCAACATATTATTTGTTGACCTTTATAAGCATGTGAAGTAGAGAAATCATAGACATCATGTACGGTGATTGAAAGCTGAAGGATGAGGTTTTCATCACAATATGAAGAAGATGGTTCCTGTCCCCTTATTTTGTGTTTTACAGACAGTGGTGCAGTAAGCTTATTAGTACAATGGCACCTGCTTTTTAAACCTAAGCATCAACAGCCGCATTAAATTAGATTATTGTCATTTTTGCTTTATTCTTTGGCTTTTTAAACACACAAGATGCCATACAGGAAATTGTTTTTTCTTTCAGGCGGGGAATGAACCCCCCTACCTCCCTGTTGGGACAGATGTCAGTGCAAAATATCGAGGTGCTTTCTGTGAAGCCAAAGTGAAGAAAATAGTTCGTACAGTGAAATGCAAGGTAAACTTAATAGACCTTAGTAAATGTGTATTGTACTGCATCTGAAATATGTGTTTCTGATAAAGTGTCACCAAGATGAAAGGAGAATGTGGGGAGAAACTGGCCTAATGTCTCTGCTGTTGTAATTTGAAGAGGGTTTATGTAAATCTATTTGTATGTAGCAAATGAGAGGTATTGGTAATTTCCATCATGTTTACTAATTCGAGAATGTATTAATGTTCAACCTCTGTCTCTGTGCAGGTGATACTGAAAGAGACCCAGACATCGGTGCTTGTCACGGATGACAATGTCAAAGGCACCCTAAAGGTATGGAACTCATTTAATGATGCATACTGCATACCTTGAACGGTCTTTCCTCCATCCAGCTTTTGAGATTTAATATGCCAACATGATAGACTAGGAATATTGCTGACAGTAGCATCAAGTGGCAATCGTTCACTTGGTCATAGCTCATACTTACCCCTCAAGTTAGACAAGCATCCATGATGAGTATGGTTGCATTGTGTTTCATGATACTGACAGCAACTGTTATATTTCCCCAAAACCAGGAGAACATGCTTTCCTTTCATCATATCTGTTAAAGTGAATTAAGATGTTCTTATACCCTTTTCATGTTTGAATTGACTTTCTCACTAGTAATTTTTCCTTTACAGGTTGGAGTGGTTGTAGAGATTAAACACCCAGAAACCAGCCAGGTGATGGAGGGTGTTATCAGTAAGCTGATGGACCAGAGCATGTACACAGTGGGTAAGTAAAGCTTTCCTTTGCTGGTCATTTGTCAGAATTACTTAAATATGTAGTGTTGGTTTGAAGAGCTTAACTAAAACTTGTACCTATATTCAAACCTTGAATTTCAGTGTTTGATGATGGCGATGAAAAGACATTGAGAAGAACACAGTTGTGTTTGAAAGGGGAGAAACACTTCATTGAGAGCGAGGTGAGTTAAGTACAATTTTAAGGATGTTTAGGTTATGGAGAGAAAAGTCAGACACATATAAGTGTTTATGATTCAGCTGACATACATTTGCCTGTTCATCTATTCTTCAGTCTGTTAATTAAAAGAAAAAGTGTGTGCTTTTGTAGGAGTGGCATGACACAAAACCAGTAGATATTTTGGTGGTATGTCAATTCTATAACCATGGCATTAAGCTCCCTGAATCTCCTGATCCTCTATATTTTGTAACACTAATGATGCACATTTCAGACCTTGGACAACCTACCACTCTCACATCCTGAACACTTCGGTACTCCAGTGCTCCAGACAAAGAGCAGGAAGAGGACAGTTAAGATGGGGTCACCAGGGTAAGCTCAACAGAACAAATACTATTTCTTTTTTACATGTCATAATTGCAAAGAACGCCAAGAGCAGATATGAAGAGCGGCACTGATGTTAACCCTTTGGATGTGTCCTTGGTATGAATCTCACAAGAATTACCCAGCTCTAACTATGATAAAGTGTGGGGTTATTACAATTAGGCCCACTGAAGTGGATTCACATAGGTAGTAAATGCCTATAGTCGGCAACTTTATGCATTTATACCAATTATGATTACACACTGTGGTGCTTCAGAAACACTTTTCTGTGTGTTTTTCTCTCCACTCACTCATTATTCCATCAAACAATTGACATGTTTCTACTCTCCTTGCAGTGTTCAGAAGGAAAAGGTGTAACCTCTGAGCACATTGGGTTGTATGGTTTTCACCACAGATCCAGTTTCCAGCAAGAGTAGTTTCTCACATGCACATTAAACAGCATACCATACTCAGTGATATGCTTCATTTCTTGTCGGGCAGCGGGATGGCGGAGTGGCTAAAGCGTTCACTCATCATGCTGATGACCCGGGTTCGATTCCCCACATGGGCACAATGTGTGAAGCCCTTTTCTGGTGTCCCCTGCCGTGAAGTTGCTTACATATTGCTAAAAGTGGCGTAAAACTAAACACTCACTCGCTCTTGTTGTGTCACTATAAATTTTTATATGTTTTGAAGTAATGAAGTAATGTAGATAATGAAATCAATAAATCAAAAATATGGCTGGTATGTTGGCTTTGTAATGTCTGCAACATGAAATCCCAAGTGTCTGTTGATTACCAATGAGATTTATTTATATAATGCTGTTTTGATAACAAAGAGATGGTACTGACATTAATCATCTTGAAATGAAAATATTTACACACTGACAGTAACTTCAAAATTCAAAGAACTTTTAGTGAACAATAAAAAAATTTTTATCCTGACTCATGTTATAATTGCTTATCTCCCTTCCCTTTCAACGGTTACATGGAAACTTAAATCCATTTGTTCCCAAGAACAGTCAAATTCACTCACCCATGTGGAGCCCACTTTCCTGCCAAAAGTCAGCCAACGTGACTCGAGCCATGTTGCCATCCCAAGTGGATGGTTGGGCGGCTTTCAGGGTCCCTTTACGGCTGATATCCTTTTATCTTTATGGCCAAACTTTCAAATTAAGGCTGTGAATTGTATATTAAGACCTACTATTATCATAAATGATGTATTTATTTACATAAATTACGCTAATTTCTGAGATTTTTCACTCCATTTTTACATGGTGGCATGTAAACAATTCAGGCTACACATTTCAGCGGCTGATCACACCCTGTGTGTTCTTGCGTGAACACTTCATGTTCTTTGCTATCACATTGCATATATTGTGCACATTTATCAGAATTTGCATTTAATAAATATTTGTTATCCTGTTTACGCAAGACTATGGGCAGAATAAGGCGTGACAGCAGGGTCTCCACTGAAAAGGGCGTTTCCCAGTCATCTGAATGTGATGTGTCTCCTCTATTATGCTCCGGGAATGTTAGTATTCCCTTGTCTGCTAATTCCTTAGAGTCTCCCTTCAGGGTTACTTCCATCTCTGCCGCTCTTGCGGAGACAGCAACACAGTCCCTCCCTAAGAAAAAGTCGAAGTCATTGTTGTCGAGATCATTGTCGTCACGGTCTTCCCGCTCTATGAGATCTTCGAAGTCAACAAAGCCTGCTGCCGAAGTACATTCGTTCGTGAACGATCTGAAGCCCGCTGATGAAACAAACGATTCATCTTACTCACAGCCACCGGTTCTCGGACCTCAAGTTATTGTGTGGGCTACGCAGCATACAACTACAACCAGCTCTACAGGGTTCGCAAACCCACGCAGAATAGTCATGCGGCAGCTGCAGCGTCAGCCAGGCAGTCTACACTACACAGTGCCTCTACTGTTCCAGCAGGGTTCGCCAACCCCTACGCCAGCAGCCAGCCTGCTTCTATGCAGTCTAGAGTTCACGAATGCTTCCACGCAGCCGGCCAATCAACATCAGTGCCGGCAGTCAAGCAGCAGAGCTTTAGTCAACCTGTGTTTGCGAACTCTACCCCATCTCCAACATGGTTGTCTTAGCAAATCGTCTACTACTACTTCACAGCAGTTAACAGTTGCTTCTGCGCAGACCCATCAACCAGCAGGACCTCGTAGACAATATCACCAGGAAGGTTGTCATGGCGATGTAGCAGCATTTGTCTACGGAACTACAGCGTCCCCTCAATCACTCTACACCAGCCACATCCTGCGGAGACTCCATCCAGGATGAAGCCCCGGCATCGGACAACACTCTACAGGAGGATCCGGACCCTTCCATCTACAGTGGAAGCCCTCTAAACTGGCAGCCCTCTAATCCGGTTTATGATCATTTCCACACCCTCGAATCCGGAGTCAGTCTATTCCGCGTTTCGCACAACAAAGAACCAGCATCTAAACTGGCATCCAGTATCTCGGCTCCCCTGTTGATTGGCTGAACGTGTATTAACAACACAGTGGACATCAGCATTAAGCTCCCGCCTCCCGGCTTTGATTGATGGATATGCGCCTAGGGAAGATGTCTTTAACTGCAATGAGGCTGACTTGTTTTTCTATGCTGTACTGGATGTTATCTTTTTTGATGAATAAAGAATATGGTGACTATCAACACGTTGTTCAGTCGTATTTTACAGCACACGGAAGATCATTCTCAGGTTGAAAAAGGAAAAGTTCTCTAAACCGGCACGCCCTCTATACTGGCTATTTTTCTGGTCCCAACGAATGCCGGTTTAGGGGGCTTCCACTGTATAATGATGCTGAGGTATTAGAATGGATCGGTGACAGCCTGCTGATATCATCACCAACCCTGACTCAACTCGGCAGTGACCTACTGCATCACTAATAACGACATCGACATCTTGACGTTTCCCCCGATGAAGCCGATTTCGCAGGTCCTGACAACCTAAAGGCGACTTTCATGAAGGCTACAAAGTCTCAAGGTCAGCACACCCCTTCGTTCAATGCCAGGTCCCACTACACAACATGGAACTATTTTTCAAGGCATCGGCGATAGGAAAAGGCTACACACTACTCAACGACTCCAAGTCACGCAGCTATAAGGTCTAAGACAAGAAATTGGCACAACTAAACACAAATGCTAGAAGGGCATTCTTCAGTCTCAGAAGATCCCGCGCCTTCAATGAAGCAATGATCAATGCTTTGCAGATTGAGATGTTCCTGTCAGCTCTTGTCACTCAGAGGAAAGAGCACCTCCGATCCACCTGCAGTGAAGCATTCCAGCTGCTGACCGAAGACCTCATAGATCTGTTTGTGACACGCTTCAATCACCAGATTGCCGGTACCAGATCCTCAAGCCTGGGCTCCCATATCATGGGAGGGACTGAACACATACGCGTTCCCGCTGTCAATCCTGTTATCACAAGTTCTACACAAGATCAACCAGACCAAAGTCCCACTACTGATTTTGGTCGCGCCTTACTGGCCAGCGAGAACCTGGTTTCCAGACCTAATACAGCTCTTGGGAGAACCAACGCTGCATCTACCAGATTGGCCGAATCTACTGAATCACCCTCACACAAGGCAGCCTCATGGCAATCCACGAGGGCTCCAGCTACACACATGGAACATGTTACGCACTGCCTGAAAAGAAGAGGATACTCAACCAGAGCAGCCAAGGCAGTTACACAGGCCTTAAGACAATCAACTCAAAACCTCTACGATGATAAGTGGAAGAGTTTTGACCAGTTTGCTGCGTGCAAGGGTTTGTCGGCCATAGTTTTTCTGAGTACCTATGTCACCTGAGAGCTTGTAGACACCTGAAGGTATCTACACTCTCGATGTACTTGGTGGCGATAAGCTCCATACTCTCCATGGATACAGGAGTCAAGCTCACCAAAGTGCCTTACTGAGGTCATTCAAGCTTGAAGACCAGCAGCAGAAGTAGCTCCAGTCTGGGACTTCAACATAGTGCTGCAACATCTTACCAGCGATGACTACAACCCGCCACTGAGACATACTACTTTTGAGCTGTTAACTCAGAAGATGTTGTTCCTCCTCGTCCTAGCTACAGCTGCTCGGATGTCAGAGATACACACCCTTGACTACAGACGTACCAGATTCGACTCCAGAGAACATGCTGCAGTCCACCTGGGACTTCATAGTGAAGAATCAGCTACCTGGTCAACCAGATAGACAATTCCCAGCATTATTTACAATCCTCGGACCACACGATACACAAGACCTGTCCCTGTTTCCGAACAACTATCTTGTTTTGGATCAGAGCTGTCATCCTATGAGCTTACAGAGCAGCAGGGCTGGATCCTCCCAGAGCCTCCAACCCACACGAGGTATTAGCCTCGACACTCACCCTACACTGGAATTGCTCTTTATTGTCAATTCTCGAAGGCTGCTTTTGGAAGTCGGACACAGTCAACCATTATCTTTCCATATATAACCATGTATCTGGTATCCATCTGTTCGGGCCCCTTGTAGTAGCGCAACAACACACTGTTCCAGCCAGACGATGAGAAATTCACCCTTATCACATTGACTTGTTGACGCCAGGCAACTGTTCCATTGCCACCGGAGTCCATGTTCCCCTGTCTTACTTGATAAATCAGCGTATGAGTGATCTAGACTCAGTTTCGGTAGTAGTCCTTACCTTAACATATGGGTCACGATTCAGTTTCAGTAACATATGGATCGTTCTAGATAACTAGACATCGAGGTGTACTAGTTTATCTAAAATCTACGAAATCTATACGATTTACTTCTTCTATTGATTTAAGAGAAGTTGGTCCCCCAATTATCATCAGGATGTTTTGACCGTGGTAGAAATAGCTGTAAGAAGAGTTCCCAAGGGGTACATGATCAGATGCAATGTTGATCTAACAATCTAACCGGTTGGTGGCTGACCCACCACCTAATTCTGTTGGATTCGGTAAGCAATGTGTAATTTTTATGATAAAATTGATATTTTATACTTATCCTGACTCATGATCTGAAGGGCCCTCCTAACTGTTCCCTCTCAGTACTATGGGCTTCACTGTAGGCTCTCAGGAGAGAGTGATGAGAGCATGACTGTTCTTTGGAACAAAGGGATTCTAGTTTCCACATAACCGTTGAAAGGGAAGGGAGATAAGCACTTGCAGCATGAGTCAGGATAAGTATAAAGTATTAATTTTATCATAAAAATTACATTTTCAACATAGAGAGTATTGACTTTGTTGATCTCGAAATATACTCAGTATCATTGATGGAGCACACAGATAAGAGATAAAACTTCCAAGAGTGCTGTTCAGGTTTATCACGAATGAATAATTTCATGCGGACATTTACTGTTAATGATGTTAAAGGTAAAAGATGTTTGTTACTTTCAACTTGCCATTTCGTATATGGTAGTTCATTTGGGCTTCAGATTCAACACCCTATATCTTGCCCAAGAGGACACTGAGTCGGATGAAAGTAGTTCTGAGGACAGTTCCCCCAAAAGAGCTTCCTACAGAGGTCGTCAGCAGGAGCTGGTTGGCAAGGTGATGGTCATTGAGGCAGGAGACAAACGTAAAGGAGGTCCCAACCCTGTTCTAGTCGTACTTCCTGATGCTGCCTCGATTGATCTCAAGACTAAGGATCACGTTCTAGTGAAGTCTTTCAAAGATGGGAAATTGTAAGCATGAACTTGAGGTTCTCTTTATCTCTAATATCCAGGGGACATTACATAGAACGGGCTGAAGACTTTTCACAAATTTGAAGAATAGAATGTTGATGCAGTTATTAATTAATTCAGTGTGGCATCCTGCTTAAGACATTAGAATTTAGTGTAATTCCCATGCCACTTCACTTGCTGTCATTGTGAACACTAGACATGAAAAAGTTCTAATTTTATCTTGGTAGAATGGAGATACCTCTGCTGTTTTAAGTACAGCTGAAGCTCAGTGAAACGTTTACCAGTTTCTAGATACAGCTGACTGAATAGGTGACATTGCTATTAAACCATATGTTTTGTTTGTTGTTATCTCCCTTAATGTTAAATACTTTGTATGATCTTGTGGAAGACACTACAAATACTGTTGTTTTTAATATATATTTTTTTTGTCGTTATTCAGCATATCTGTATTGAAGAAAGAATTAAAGGATTTCACACGTGAAATTGCCATCAAGAATGAGGACAAAAATCTCAAAACTGGTGAGTTTTATATTCTATGTAATTTATCAATGGGAATTATGAGGTCATTTGAGGCTTGATGTACAGACTGAGCAAACTAAGGACTGAGTGTGTACAATGTACTGCCTGGCTAATGCTGTCATGGCTCTGTCAGTTTGGATCATGTCTCATGGAGACCTTGCTCCAGTAGGACTTTGAACAAACAGCCGTGTGATATCGCTGACACAGGTGACTGCCGTATTTGGACAATGCTCTTACTGTGTTTAGATATCTGCTTTATTGCTCTGCTTGGACAATGTTCTAATACTATTATTGTTGTACAGCTTTAGAGAAAGCACTGCTGTATTTTGACAATCATGAGCTACCTGGTCCATGGAAGAGAGACGAATTGCTGGGTTCTGATGAGGAAGAAGACAGTGGTGATGATGATGTAAGTGTTTTCACAATTTTCTGACATATGAGGCCCAGAGTGTATATAGTAAACTTGAAACAGTGGAACTCATCATGAAGTAAAAACATCTCCTTCAGGAAATAACCTTTTTCAGTTTATTGTTTAACCAGATCATAACCTCGTGAGGCACTGATACTCATATCATGGCTGGGCAGAAGGTCTCACAATACATCCCAAACCATTGCTCCCCATAGTGTACTTAGTAAATGATATATTGTGAACACAGTGGGTCTTGTGATGAGAGATACAAATCTCTTTCAGATTAATGTTAGATTGTTACTAAATGTTACTAATTACTTAGTTTACTTGTACCTTTGTCATTCAGTTTCCATAGACCCGTGAAGATCCGGGGTAGAATAGTTCTTCAGCAACCCATGTGCTTGCCATAAAAAGGCGACTATCTTGTCGTAAGAGGCGACTAACGGGATCGGGTGGTCAGTTTCGCTGACTTGGTTGACACATGTCATCGGTTCCCAATTGCGCAGATTGATGCTCATGCTGTTGATCACTGGATTGTCTGGTCCAGACTCGATTATTTACAGACCGCCGCCATATAGCTGGAACATTGCTGAGTGCGGCGTAAAACTAAACTCACTCACTCAGTTTCCATATGATTGGTTTGACAAATGTGACAGTGGTCATTGTCCTTTAATCTCCCACAGTATGGCACTAGAATACTGTTTACAGTAGCAGTGAACCAACATTGTTCAGTCAATAACTTGGACTTGTTTGTTCATTGACACTATTTTATTCCTATTTCAGTCCTCTGATGATGAGCCTAGTGAAGAGAAGGATCGATTTGTAGCCCAGCTGTATAAGTTTATGGATGATAGAGGTTAGTTTTATGGTTTTGTTCCATAACAGACAAATTGCTACAAAGTTACTCCATGTGGGTGTTACTGGAGTTTGTTCTATATTTGCCTGTACAAATATGATAGTTGTTTGAGTTGGTTAAGTGTAGATGGGTATGTCCTTGTTTTATCTGCTTGACTCTTTTTTTCAGGAACTCCTATCAACAAAGGGCCCAGTATTGGAACACGCGACCTCAATCTATACAAGTTGTTCAGGGTTGTACAGAACCTAGGTGGTTATAACAGGGTAGGTTTTGTTGGCGGAAGTTGTCATTTGGTGTGAAGAAAATCAGACAACAATATGTCCTGTTTTACTTTTCAAACATGTCAAGTGTGTTAGTTGTTAGTGTGTAGTGTTGATTAGATGGTGTCAGTCTTGCTATTTAGTGTAGTGTGTGGTCCATTACCTTGTGATTAACACAAATCTGCATTAGATGGAATATGAACATTATCTATTTACAGGTCTTGTTTACAAATTTGCAAGATTTTAGATTATAAATAGTGTTTCAAACTGTGGAAATAATTAATTATTCTATTTAGGTAACAAACCAGATGAAGTGGAGACTGGTTTACTCAAAAATGGGCCTACCACAATCAAACACTGCTTCACATCAAATCAAGAATGCCTATAAGAAGTGAGTACTGTTTTCTGTTTGATTTTTTCATCAATGAATCAGCCAAGATGGGAATTTGTCAGAAATGATAATGTGTTTAATGAGCATGGTTGTAGATATCTTTTAGAAGTAGTCCAACCATATCAGATAAAGGGGCCCCAGATATGGGCCTTGTACATGGCTACCACGTGAGGTACACCTGAACCTTCCATTGGTGGCAATCTAACCTCTATACTACCACACCTGTGTAGTTGGTGGCTGACTGCATGGGAGAACAAACAACATGCTCACACAGAAAGCAGTAAGAAGTTGCTTGTGGCAGCATTGGTACCCTGAAAGCAATAAGAAGTTGTTTGTGGTAGCATTGGTATCCTGAAAGCAATAAGAAGTTGTTTGTGGCAGCATTGGTACCCTGAAAGCAATAAGAAGTTGTTTGTGGCAGCATTGGTACCCTGAAAGCAATAAGAAGTTGTTTGTGGCAGCATTGGTATCCTGAAAGCAGTAAGAAGTTGTTTGTGGCAGCATTGGTACCCTGAAAGCAATAAGAAGTTGTTTGTGGCAGCATTGGTACCCTGAAAGCAGAAGTTGTTTGTGGTAGCATTGGTAACCTGAAAGCAATAAGAAGTTGTTTGTGGCAGCATTGGTACCCTGAAAGCAATAAGAAGTTGTTTGTGGCAGCATTGGTATCCTGAAAGCAATAAGAAGTTGTTTGTGGCAGCATTGGTATCCTGAAAGCAGTAAGAAGTTGTTTGTGGTAGCATTGGTATCCTGAAAGCATTGGTACCCTGAAAGAAGTTGTTTGTGGCAGCATTGGTACCCTGAAAGCAATAAGAAGTTGTTTGTGGCAGCATTGGTATCCTGAAAGCAATAAGAAGTTGTTTGTGGCAGCATTGGTACCCTGAAGCATTGCATTGGTACCCTGAAAGCAGAAGTTGTTTGTGGCAGCATTGGTACCCTGAAAGCAGAAGTTGTTTGTGGCAGCATTGGTACCCTGAAAGCAGAAGTTGTTTGTGGCAGCATTGGTATCCCTGAAAGCAATTGTTGTGTGTGGCAGCATTGGTACCCTGAAAGCAATAAGTTGTTTGTGGCAGCATTGGTACCCTGAAAGCAATAAGTTGTTTGTGGCAGCATTGGTAGCCCTGAAAGCAATAAGAAGTTGTTTGTGGCAGCATTGGTACCCTGAAAGCAGAAGTTGTTTGTGGCAGCATTGGTACCCTGAAAGCAATAAGAAGTTGTTTGTGGCAGCATTGGTATCCTGAAAGCAATAAGAAGTTGTTTGTGGCAGCATTGGTACCCTGAAAGCAGAAGTTGTTTGTGGCAGCATTGGTACCCTGAAAGCAATAAGAAGTTGTTTGTGGCAGCATTGGTACCCTGAAAGCAATAAGAAGTTGTTTGTGGCAGCATTGGTACCCTGAAAGCAGTAAGAAGATGTTTGTGGCAGCATTGGTACCCTGAAAGCAATAAGAAGTTGTTTGTGGCAGCATTGGTACCCTGAAAGCAATAAAAAGTTGTTTGTGGCAGCATTGGTATCCTGAAAGCAATAAGAAGTTGTTTGTGGCAGCATTGGTACCCTGAAAGCAATAAGAAGTTTGTGGAAGTTGTTTGTGGCAGCATTGGTATCCTGAAAGCAATAAGAAGTTTGTGGAAGTTGTTTGTGGCAGCATTGGTATCCTGAAAGCAATAAGAAGTTTATGGAAGTTGTTTGTGGCAGCATTGGTACCCTGAAAGCAATAAGAAGTTGTTTGTGGCAGCATTGGTACCCTGAAAGCAATAAGAAGTTGTTTGTGGCAGCATTGGTATCCTGAAAGCAATAAGAAGTTGTTTGTGGCAGCATTGGTATCCTGAAAGCAATAAGAGGTTTTTGTGGCAGCATTTGGATCCAGCTCAAATATGCCAGTGGTAGTACGTTTTGCTGTTAGTCTTATGATGTGTACAACAGTTCAGCCTCACTATCCCATGTTATGTTACAGGTTCCTCCATGCATTTGAAGACTTCTATCGTAAGCTTGGCAGTACCATGGGGACCATCAGCCGACCTGGTCGCAGTCGTCACAGTTCAGGAAGAAGCATTCTCGCCTTCAGGGGGAGAGAGAAAGAGTCTAAGTCCCCCAAACCTGTCAAATCCAAAGAAAGTGATAAGGTGAGCTTTAAGAAACCAAGACTTATATCTCAACAACATATGAAATAATTAACTCCCTAAACAAACAAGCCCACTTCTGCAAGCCCTGCTGAAGGTTACTCGTCCTTATACAAATATAAGAAGAAAAGGAAGAGCCCATGATAATTTCTACCAGCCTTTTCCTTACAGGCAAGCATTCATTTCCAATTGTGTGTGAAACTAAATCACTTCTCTTCTAAATTTGATTTGGTGTGATCACATTTTTAGATGATATAGCTCACTTGAACAAAGTTTGTACCAAATTAGTACTCCTGTTGTACAATGTTGAAAATAGAGTGCAAGATGGTTATGTAATGTTAAGAGCACTCTTTTCCATGTTTTTTGTGCCCAAACCAACATGGATCTTTTTAAAGAAATTATCGTTTCCTTTGAAGGATACAAAATTTGCTGGCTTAAGCCAGTGGACAGAAACCAAGATTTACTGAAATTCTTTCAGTGTATGAATCACAGCTAACAATATATGTTATCAGATCAAATCTGAAAATGATGAGAAAAAGGCCTGTTTTGGGTGCAAACTTGAACTGAAGCATTGACAATTAACAGAACGTTGAGTATGAGTTAGGTTGTTGACCATAATATGTAACTTTGTTAAGTTTAAATAAATACTAATGCTGTAAACTAAATTCAGGAGGACAGTGACAAGGGCAGGTCCAAGTCCGATGAGAGTCAGTCTGAAGATGGGAAGGATATGGAGGAGGATGCTGGCTCTAAAGATGAGGTGTCAACCAAGAAGGAGGAGTTAGACGTGGAACCAGTGCGCAAAGAGCGAACAACTCCACGTAGGATGCTGCGGGATGATCTCAAGGAGGCCAAGGAGAAGGAGAAAGAAAAGAAGGAAGAAGCCAGGAGGAAGAAGGAGGAGAAAGAAGAGGTCAGTTGAAAAATTTCATTTGTCCAGTTTTTTGTTTTTGAAATTTATGAGTGTCAATTACAGTTTTGCCTTCAAGTGTTTATTCCATATGAAGGTCACTGGTACATATACGATTTACTTTGGATTAACATTCTAAGTTTAACCTCTTTTGACACTTCTTATTTGAACAATACAAGTATTTACACACAAGTCTTATAACATTTTCGTTTTTTTATTATCATGAGCATTTTATTTTTGTACATAATTGAGTTGTTACAGTAACCATAGATTAGATAACATGATCTTATATCATGATATGAAGAGCAAATTAACACAAAATGGTAATTTTTCCTTATCCTGACTCATGAATTTTTGCTTATCTCCCTTTCCTCTTCGAATGGTAGTGGAACACTTGAATCCCTTGGAAGTTCCCGAAGCGGACGCATAAATACACTCACCCACGAGTTACCTCCCTTTGCCCTTTCCCCAGCGAACCAGTCATGTGACGTGCCTTACTTGTCACTCTCTCCCTTTTCGCCCAAGCGGATGGTTGGGCGAGCACTGGAGTCCCGTATACGGCATTATATCCTTTTATATTTAGGTCCTATTCTTCAAAATTACGATGTATATGGATTTGACTATAACTACTTAAAAAAGAATAATTTAATTACATTTGAGTTGTGTTTTCATTGTTATGTAACTTTGTTTACATTTTATGAAATCTTGCATTGTTTGCAGGCACAGGTTATCCGTGGCTGATCCTCAACCCCAATGTCCTTCATGCATAAATCCATGTTCCTTCAGCTTGCGCTGTACTTTTTATATTGATTTATCAATTTAATCAATATTGTCTTATAATTATAGACGTGCCATGGATCGGGTGAGAAAGTCATCTCAAGTCACGATTGATAAAACTGCAGATCAGCCTTCAAATCGTATGTTGCTTGCTACGACCGATGTTCATAATACTGGTGTTATGTTTAGTACGTTACAGGGGCAGTCTGCTGGTAAGGGGACCAGGAAGAGATCGTCTACATCTCAGTCGACTCAGTCTCAGACTAAGAAAAAGACGTCATCCTCTTCTACAACGCAGAAGAAGTCAGCTGTTACCAGATCGGAGGGCAAATCTATGCGTGCTAGGTCATCTACGCACCAGAAGTCCTTCAACGAAGAGATTGTACCTCCTCACAAACTAGACGTTTTTGACGAACCCCCATTACTTCTACCTGAAGTAACTATGAGATCAGCGACTCTGTAGACCTCTACTACTACGAGATCGTCCCCTACTACAGTCAAGGCAGGAAAGCTGTTGACGTACTACCTCTTACTTCTCAGAGTGAAGGTGAGGCACATAACTCATCAGCATTTGCGAACACTTCATCTACACCGCAGCAGCGTCAACCTATGCAGAACTTCGACCCAGGGGAATTTATGACACAATTCACCAACCAGATGATGGCCATGATGGAACGTAGATTCCAGGGGGAATCGAAGGCTAGGAAAAGCCTCTCATCTACCGACACCGTGCGCAAACCCCCAGGCCTTCTATCAGATCTACACCTCAAGGCTACGTTCACGAACATACACTTTCGCGAAGGGCTTCGTAGTCGGACAACTCTATCATCTTGGAGGATAGAAGAGATGACGCACAATCCACGTTCGCAACCCTCAGCCTTCGCGAACATCGAAGGATCCTGCTCCTACACCTAGCCGCTCTAGGTCGAGATCTCTTATCTCACACAGATGTTCGCGAAGCTACTCACCTCAAGCCAGACGTTCGCGAAGGGATAGCTCACCTCACAGAGGTTTGCGAAGAGATGTATCCACAGATAGAGGTTCGCGGACAGAACACTCTCAAGATAGACGTTCACATAGGAAGAATCCTCAGATACAGGTTCGCGAAGGCAGGATGAGGGTTCGCGAAGGGAAACAGGTTCGCAGATGGATGAATCGTCGAGACATAGCTCTCATAATCAGGAGACTTCAGACTTGCAAACAGATTTCGTCTTCCCAGACTCAGAAGTTACAGCATGGATTGCTAACGGGTTGAACTTGGAGTCTCCTTCTAAGATAAAGATGAAGTCTACACTTATATGATGCTCAACGATGACTTCGACTCCGTCACAATCCCTCCGATTGAACCTATATCCAAGGTACCTTCTAACCTATGCACAGCTTTGAGAAAGCTACAGACATCTACAAGGTTCGAGAACTCTCAGATCTACAGGCAGATAACAGCAACGTTGACATCTACAGGGTTCGCGAACCCTAGGGTTAACAAACCCTTACATCAACAGGCAGGATGTTGACGTCAACTCTATTACCATGCGGCTGATTAAACGAAGCAATGATGGAAACGGATGAGGTCTTATACCGGGTAGCAGATGGCCTGCGGATATTGTCGTTCACTCACTCACTCCAACCCAACAGAGACTGGAGAACCTTAAGGCTACCTATGGAAAGGGCTTAAGGTTAACATCGCCTACAAGTATACTTGAACGGACGTACAGATGATTGTATTAACACTCGTCACTCAGCGTGGGGATTAGGAATTATATCCTATCAACTAGATCCATACAGACATACGTCTCGACAGCCACCTTCGTCATGCTCGGAATAAGTGATTCATATCACTAAACAAGATTTACACTGGGAGCAACCCTTAGTCAGGAGACTTATATGAGCGGCGTAGGATTACGCGCGCTTTTACTCACAGATTTTATGGAGGCCAACTGGCTACAACACTGGTGACGTCATGCTTGAAGCTGATTGGTCCACGTCAGACAACGCCTCCCACTGACAGAGCAGGCCCCAGCATGTTTCTCATAGTAAACAAACCCGTGGTACGGGGGAATACTTCATCGGCAGCCTTGGAAACAGTATACAACTACGGCCTGTTATCATCATGGAAATCTAATAGATGTCTAGCCTTGACAGCAGGATAAACGATGTTTATTTTGGAAGTTGTCGCTGATAGAAGTCGGTATGAGTACCTGTCCCCTGCGATACTACACGGGAGCCAGCCTTGCTATAAATAGACAACTCTCGATGTCAACACAGATCGCCTGCGTATATAAGGGGAAGAATGATGTATCATCACTGCAATCAGAGGTTAGCACTTCCAATGAAATGTCCTATCGTTTGGAATATCGTAGGCTCTATGATTATTCATACGAATAACCAAGCCTATCGGCACCTATTTACAACGTCGAGATCTACGCAGTGCCGGTTATCTGGAGGACGGCATGCAGGTTCTTCAAAGTGCCAATCAACTCAGAGAGCGGATGAACTTCACAATTAAGTTGCTCATGCAACTAGGATGGCTAGTGAACCTGATGGAAATTGGAGTTAGAATCAATCAAAATTTTCAATTGCTGGGAATAAGAATTATCACAATACAGGATTGAATTGTGATCCCAGAAGATCATTGGGTCAAGATATAAGCCATGATTCAACAAGCAGTCATCTCTCCGTTAACACTACGAACATGGCAAGTGCTACTCGGCCTGCTAACCTCGGCGCAGGACTTGACGCGCACAGGAAGGTTATAACTAAGACCGCTGCAACGGTTCCTGATAAAACATCTAGACCCTATCTTGCTGCCGGAAAACTTCAAGAGGTATCTACTGTGGTGGACACACAGGTCGAACGTTTGCGAAGGGACCTATTTACAAGAGCTGGCCTTCGACACACACCTACGCAGATGCCTCGATGCAAGGATGGGGTGTGCATCTCAACGATCAAGTGGCGTCGGGAAAGTGGTCCAAAACAGAACAACAGCTTCACATCAATCTGCTAGAGATGAAAGCAGTGATCAACGCCTTAGAACTATGGTCGAGCTTGCTGAAGAACAAGATGCTGATGATCCACACGGACAACTCTACAGTGGCGTTCTCCATAAACCAGCAAGGATCCACAAGGTCGCCAAGCCTGTTGCAGCTCACATTCCAGTTGTTCCAGATCACGCAGGAAGCAAAAGTCTGGATAAAGGTGTGTCACATACCCGGCTCCAAGAACTGGCAGACACTCTCTCAAGACCACTACACCCGTCACCTACGGAATGGATGCTCCATCCAGAAGCGTTTCGGAACATAAGGGAGATAGGATCCCCTTGCATAGACCTGTTTACCACGAGGTTCAACAAACAACTACAGACGTTTGTCTCACCAGTTCCAGATCCTCAAGCCTGGGCAACAGATGCACGGAGCATGTCGTGGGAAGGATTAAACGGCTACGCTTTTCCACCCCCGATACTACTGCCAAAAGTACTGTTCAAGATCAAACAGACTCAGACGCTACAACTGACTTTGGTCACGCCCTATTGGCCAGCAAGAGCATGGTTCCCAGACCTAATAGAAGATCTTGGAAACCCAGTAATCAAGTTACCAGATTGGCTGAACCTGCTAATACATCTGCACACAAAGCAAGTCCACGGAAACCCAACAGTGTTCCAGTTACATGTGTGGACCATATCAAAACGTGCTTGAAGAAAAGAGGATACTCCGCCAGGGCAGCCAAAGCAGTAACGCTAGCGTTACGCAGATCGACTTGCAACCTATACGACGACAAATGGCTTAGGTTTGAGACTTATGCAAGGCGGAAAGGCTTCACACTGATGATAGCCACTCATCCTCAAGTGGTGGAATATCTGTGTCATCTTAGACAGACCAGACATCTGAAGGGTTCAACACTATCTACATACCTCGCTGCAATCAGTACAGTGATTACTATGAAAACAGGCATCAAGTTGACAAAAGTACCAGAATTACTTGCTCTGCTGGAGGACCAGCAAAAGAAATTCAGAGCTCCAGCCTGGGATCTAAATGTAATTCTGCGTCATCTTACCAGCGATCTCTACGAACCACTAGATCAGATTACAATCGAGCTGCTAACACAGAAGAAGCTGTTCCTGCTAGCGTTAGCCACTGCAGCTCGCATATCGGAAATACATGCGCTGGACTATGGTCGAACCACATTCGACAGAGGGCAACATAATGCAGTTCATCTAGGACTCAGATGGGACTTTATTGCCAAGAACCAGCTACCTGGTCAACCAGACAGACAGTTCCACGTACCAGCGCTGTCTACAGTCCTCGGTCCACAAGATATAGAGGTCTTATCCTTGTGCCCAGTCAGAGCCCTGAAGATATATCTTCAAAAGACTGAGATGAGGAGACGAAAATTCAAGTGCCTTCATCCCATTATCAACAGAGACTTCTCAAGAACGACCATATTGTTCTGGATGAGAGCCGTTATATTGAGAGCCTATAAAGCAGCAGGACTAGAACCTAGAGCTTCCAACCCACACGAAGTCAGAGCACTGGCCTCAACACTAGCTCTGCACGGAAATTGCTCTATACCGACAATTATGGAGGGCTGCTTTTGGAAGTCGGACACAGTGTTTGCCAGCCACTACCTCCGAGACATAGCCACTGAAGATGTCTCAGGCATTCACCAATTTGGGCCTCTCGTTATAGCACAGCAACTAACGGTTCCTCAAAGGTGCTGAGTTGGAAAATCTCACCCTTTATCATGCTGACTTTTTGATAACTTTTACTAAGGAAAAGTATTAGTTTGAAAGTCCATGCGCACAGCCTAAGACAGGCTAGCATGAGTGATTAAAGATCCTGTACGGGTAAAGATCTTACCTGTACGTGAAGGGGTCGCAACTCATTTATGATAAAGATCTTATAATCTATGGGTTGTTATAGATAACTAGTGAAAAGAAGATACTAGTATATCTTAAGCCACATAAATCTACAAGATTCACTTGTCTGAGAGAGAAGTAAGACACCCCACCCCCGAGTTACAACGGAAGTTGGAAGAATAGGATCTAGGAAATGCTGTTACGCAGTTCCCATGGGGGTATACAGGACGTATCTATGGACAGCTGTTGAATCCAGGAAGTGGCTTGACCCACCACCAATCCGTAAGATTCTATAAGCAAAAGATCATGAGTCAGGATAAGGAAAAATATGTAAGTTTTTAAGTAAAATTGATATTTTATACTTATCCTGACTCATGAGGAGAAGCCCTCCCAACCTCCCCGCTGGAAACACTTCGGATTTCACAGTAGATTCAGGTGCATGGGCAGAAAAATCAGGAAAGAGTGACAAGTAAGGCTGGTCACATGAGGTAACTCATGGGTGAGTGTATTTTTACGTCCGCTTCGGGAAGTACAAGGGATTCAAGTGTTCCACTACCATTCGCAAGGGAAAGGGAGCTAAGCAAAAGATCATGAGTCAGGATAAGTATAAAATATGAATCAAATTTACTTTAAAAATTACATATTATTGGTAACTGCCAGTTGTCTGTGGTCTGTGTTTGCCAGGATTACTGAACCATACCATTTTGACACAGATTTTAAGGGTCAAGTTTGGGGGCTTATCTATGGGGTCGGTTTATAGACGGTAATAATCGGTATATATCTTTCAAGTTCTGGTTTCTGTGCATATTATATCTTACCCGTGAAGATCCGGGTTAGAATTGGTCTTCAGTAACCCATGCTTGTCGTAAGAGGGAACTAACGGGATTGGGTGGTCAGGTTCGCTGACTTGGTTGACACACGTCATCGCATCCCAATTGCATAGATCCATGCTCATGCTGTTGATCTCTGGATTGATTGGTCCAGACTCGATTATTTACAGACCACCGCCATATAGCTGAAATATTGCTGAGTGAGGCATAAAACTAAACTCACTCACTCACTCATGCACTCACTCACTCACTCACATCTTGAACTATTACATTTGGTGCTACCTGTATTATAACTACAGGTGTTTTAGTACAATATGTCCATTACTTTTCATGGAATGCGATCTGCAGGCATCTCTGTAAGTTTTAACCACTATTCCAGGGGTACAATATGCAATATCTCAGACCTCACACCTCACACACAAATGTTGTTTTCTGATTGGCTGAGCGCTCTTCTGTTATTATACCCCCGATACGAAGTAACGGGGGTATATAGCGTTCATTCTGTCCGTCCGTCCATCCTACCGTCCCGAAAGTTTGTCCGGAGCATATCTCTTAAAGTTTACATGCTAGGTTCACCAAACTTCACACACATTTTAATCATTACCCATTGATGTGCCTTTTGCTATCTTAAAGTTTTTTCAGAATTTGTTTTGTTGTTGTTTCCATGGAAACATGATTTGGTGCAAAATGTGTTTGATGTTACCTGGCCACAGCATATCATCGAAAATTATACATGCTAGGTTCACCAAACTTAATATACAAGTTAATCATGACCCACAGATATGCCATGTGCTAAAAAATAACAATCTTCATCTACGTCCACTTCATTGTGTGCAACATGAGACAGTCAAGTTCAATTGTATGTCAGGTTTCCACGGAAAACAAAAAAAATTAATGTTTCCATAAATTATTACTGTAATCAGTACATGGCAAAACTATTATCAAACATGTATATAAAGTTTAGTAGAGTAAAGGAGAAAGTCTTGTGAGCTGCTGATCCTTGTCACATTATATATATCAATATCAGTCATTTCCATGTCCAAAAGTGGGAAGCGGGGGGAATGTGAGCTGTGTTTACTTCTACACTTGTTTTCAATGTACCCCGCTTGGAATGCCGAACTCATTTGGTACTTCGTAGTAGTAATTCTTTATCTCGAATAACATTGAATCATGTATGATGTACGGAAACTACCGATGTTTTGCGAATGCAAATTGATGGAAGGGAGATAACTCTAAATTTGTTTTTCTTGTCTTGTCGTCTGGTACTCCATACTATAATCCGATACCTGTGCTTCAAACAGTTCAAAATTACCATTGAGGTGTTCGGTCTCTCGGGGCCCATGGGTTGATGTACCATCAATGTGTCTTTATGTTGTCCTAGCCCATCGGGCTCAGGGAACATAAACAAACATCGAGGGTACATCAGCCCATGTCCCCCTTGAGACCAGTGAACAACTTATATTAATGTACAGAGGGTGACATCCACACTCACCATATATACAGTCAGGCCGCGGTAATCCGGTCCTCGTTAATCCGAATCCACCGACTTCCGAACGCTACTCACTGGGCACCAAATCATCTCCCTATATATTGTATATAATTGACACCTCGTTAATCCGATGATTCAGTTTCCGCTTCCCGAACGCTGGTCAGTCGGAACGGATTGGACTAATTACGTTGTAAACAGCTGCGTTAATCCGAACGATTGAAGTTGACCGCGCTGCTGACTGGTCCACCCAAAGTGACACGTTGTTTGTTTAGCGACTTAGCGACTCGGACACATGCTTCGGCAGCGGGTCCACAATAACATTGTCAAAGAGCAAAGTAACGATGTTTCGAGGAATTCATTAAATAAATTGAAAAACTAATGAATAAAATCAACAAAATAAATACATGAAGCATTTTTGTCACAGGTCATAACCTAGCATGATACGTCCAATAAGTTCCATAATTTACGTATAGGTAGCGATTTCTTGCTTAATATGTTCAAAATAGCATTATTTTACCCAAAACTTTCGTCTAAATCTAAAAGTTTTCGCTTACGAGGACGGATACCGTAAATTACATTGCCGTAATATGATTGGCTGCCTTAGGTCACGTGTCTGATTTTGACCAATCACGACCCTTATAGCAGACTGTAGTAAAAAAGCGTCATTGGAAACCAATTTGTATCCAATAAAATCGCTTCTTACAACTGTGAAAATACTCTCGGCAAGGGTTCAGTGATGTTGTTGATGTTCAGAGCTTTCGAACGAAACCCGACATCAAACGATTCGGCCCCCATGTTATTCATAATGATGCTTCAAAACGCAGGTATTTTCTGTTGTTATGACATGTTACCGAGCGGAAAGCCACAGATATCGGGAAATAGGCGACCATACATATTATTTAAGAAATATTTTTATAATAATTTTCTGATGACGTAAAAACGAAAATATAAAAGAAAAAGGCACGGGCATGTTATGACATGTCACAAATGAAAAAAAAATCGCCATAGTTTTTGCTTCTTTCGTGGTTTATCTGGACGTTATAAATGTAAGCTAGCATTTTCATTCAAAAATAATTTTATTTAAGTTGTAGTTGTATCAAGGGGAAGTAACTCGGTGGATATACTGTGGTTTCAGCAGTACGAACGTTTCACTATCCGAACGGTTTTTTTAAAAAACCAAAGTGTTCGTATTAACGAGGTCTGACTGTATTTGCATTTGGAGTCTGGTGTCCAACATTAAAAAATCTTTTACATGCTAAAGGATAATGTTTCAATTTCTTTAAATAATAATAATAATAGTCCATTTATCATATAGCAATATTGGTTGTATTTGAATATCAAAGATGTCAAAGAAAACAGAAATGTCTATTATATCTATCTTAGTAAGACTGTGAATATTTCCATAAGCGCCCTTTTACCTCACTGAAACAGATGGCTACTTTAGCTGTATATAAAACATCATCTCCATGTATCTATAGGAGTTAACTATAGTAAGCCCTTTGATATTGTAGAACCCAACCTCTTTATGAGATAATCAACAATACTGGTGCCTCAATTTTGAAAATTTAATGCCTACTTCTTTTAATCACGCAGCAAGCAAAATCAAAAAAGGAAGAACGAGAAGAAGCAAAAAGTAAAAAAGAAGAGAAAGAGGACGCTAAGAGCAAGAAGGAAGAGAAGGATGATCACAAGGGAAAGAAGGATGACAAGAAAGCTTCTGAAGACGATCGTAAGTCGTCTAGGAGAGATAAGCAGGAAGATAAGGCAGATAGTAGAAAGGAAGAAATGAAGTCTGATAGAGAAACAAGAGGTCAGAAGGATAGACAGAAGGAAGAAGTGAAGGTGGAAAAGGAGAAACCAAAACGGAAAGAGAAAGAAAAAGAAGAGGATAAGGACAAGGAAGAAGAAACTAAAGGAGAGGAGGAAGAAAAAATAGTGAAGAAGCAAAGGGTGAGGATTCTGATTTACACAATTGATTTTTGATGTGTTAGGTTGTATTACTATTATTTTGAAACGATTGCCTTAGATTCGATTTGAAGACAGGAAGGATGTTGCATATTCAACTTGCCCTGACATTGTGTTTAGACCTTGATCTAGTCTCTTCTACAAAAACAGACATTGTACAGAAGGTTTTAATCATTGTCAAATTACCATCTCGGAACTGAACTTTTTGATTTGAAGAAGAGCAGAGAGCATTTAATCATTTATTGACATTAGTCCGTCATTTCACCAGTATTTATTGAAAAGATAGTAAACCTTTCGGCACAAGCTATGAATGTATGGAAATGTTATTGTAATGACTGGCAGAACTGTGGACTAGTTTCAAACCCAGTTGTTAGAAACGGACTGCAATCCATGTACACTGTTTAAAATGGTGAAAAATGGCACTTACCCTCTGATCATTGATTCTTTTATCCTTTATAATGGCAAGCATTGTATCCCAGGTCACGAGGAGGAAGTCAGGGAGAGGGGATGAGGCCAAGAAAGAATCTGAAGAGAAGACTGACGATGTAGCTGACGAGAAGAAGGTTGAAGAGAAAAAGGTCGATGAGAAGAAAGTTGAGGAGATGAAAGTTGAGGAAAAGAAGGTTGATGAGAAAAGAATTGGGGAAAAAAAAGCCGAAGATAAGAAGGTTGAAGAGAAGAAAAATGAGGACAAAAAAGAAGAGAAGAAGGTGAAGAAGGAGGATGGAAACACCAAGGTTAAGAAGGAAGACAAGAAGGAAAGTAAGAAGGAGGACAGAAAGGAATCAAAGAAGGAGGAGAAGAAGGAAGACAAGAAAAAAGAATCCAAAGAAAGCCCCAAACCAAAGGAAGAGATCAAATCGAAGTCACAGGAAGAAGAGGATTCTGATGTGTAAGTGCATAAAGAATGTTGAAATGGCTAGGTCAATTTCTGTTTGGTTTATAATGATATTCTTTGTTGATATTCTTTCATGTCCATAGCTGCAAAATGTCTTAAATCTGTTGTGTTAGTTACAAATATACAACTAAAATATATATTCATCTCAATGTTATGTCACAGAGAAACTGAATCACAAATTCACGGAAACACAGTTAAAGAGAGTGCCATTAATAGTATGATCAGTCTCCCCCATAAGCAAGAAAGTAAATGAATCTGGCATAGAAGGCTAAACTGATATGATCAAGTGGCTGAACATTTTCAGGAATATTGATAAGCAAGGAAACAAATCTCTTAGGTGTGGCAAATGGGTTAATGATCATGGCAATATTTTAACAATGTGAATAACAGTATAATGACCAACAGCATAGTTACCTTATTAAATACTGATTTACAGTGATGTTGAGGAGGGACAAGAAGAAATTACACTGCGGCCACGGGAAGAGTTCCCCACTGGTACCAAACTGAAGGTCCGGTACGGTCGGGGGCGGAACCAGAAGGTTTATGAAGCTAAGGTGAGCAGGACCAGGAAGTGAGAGCTTCAGCAAACCTTTTGATTTGTAATTTTACCATGCATTGTTCTTTTTCATAAACAGCACTACTGTATTCTTTACCACTGATAATGGTCAGATGTTCAAATTGATAATGACTTCAGGTCTGTAAGGCTGTATAAGTGTTCCATCAAACTCAGGGCTGATATGTCGTGATGTAAGCAAAACAATATTCGAAGTAACAGGAAGTAAACAAACACAAAACTATTTTTTGAATGTTTGTTTAATTTGCAGGTGGTTGAAGCAAATAAAGATGGATCTCATAAGACCTACCTGGTCCATTATGCAGGATGGAACAACAGGTAAAGAAGATATTAACAACCTTGTCTTTGGATATGTAAATGATTGTATCAACCTTGACTATTTGTCTCTTGTTAAGTACTATAGTTAACACTACTAAACCTCTTTGTTCAGGTCTACAGGTGTTTGCACTACTATGTAGCCTTTATCATTGACATGAAAATTACATGTGATTGGTTTGGTACGTACGTCCCAGTTCTTGCTAACGCGATATCTCATTAACTAGTGTACCCAATGTCTTCAAATTTGGTGACAGCCTACATTGTGGGATTACCCAGACACCAGTCGATTTGGGTGACCTTGACCTTATTTTCAAGGTCACCACGACACTTTGACCACTTTTCAAACTCTTGTTAACGCGATATCCTCATGAACTGTTGTACCCAATGTCTTCAAATTTAAAGACAGCCTACATTGGGGGATTACCCGGACACATTGGGGATTACCCAGACACTACGATTTGTCTTCAAATTTGGTGACAGCCTACATTGGGGGATTATGCAGACACCAGTTGATTTGGGGGACCTTGACCTTATCTTCAAGGTCACCCCGACAATTTTACCACTTTTTCAAACTTATTTAAATGCGATATCTCATAAAACGTTGCACCCAATGTTTTCAATTATGTCGACAGCCTACATTGGGTGATTATGCAGACACAATTTCAGGCATCTTGTATGTGACCAAAAAATAAAAAGTAGTAAATATAGATGTTCCATTCTTTAGCGGTGGGGGACAACATTGCCATATCAGTGGCAAACACTTGTTGTTCCTTTAAAGAGAAAGCTTTATCTCCCACTTCTACCAAAAGATATTGAAAGAGGCCACATGTTTTTACACTGGGGGATAAAACCCAAGATGGTGTAGTGTAGCCGCTGTGGCATAGTATATCAGCAAGCCAGAACAATATAACTGCCATTTGCTGGGACTAATACAAAAAGTCACATGTATCACATTTCTGTAGTGGCAAAATAATCTTGATTGCCATTTCACTGCCTTCCAGGTATGATGAATGGGTGAAGGCAGACAGAATTATCTCGGTTGTCAACAGGCCAGATACAGGAAAACACTCGCAGAAGAAAATTGTGTCACCAAAAGCGCCATCTCCAAAGGTACTGAATCCTAATATAAAAATGAAAGAAGGTTCTGGTTGTGTTACACACAAATTTTGTTTTTTACTCGTTTAGATTACCTATGTTTTAGAATGAATACCTGATATTTGACAATATTGCCAATAAGGAGGCAAAAAAACTTTTCTTATTCAGATGATAAACAATCAGTTATCTTATGTAGAGAATCTTGAAGTTCTTGAAGTGCTTCTGTTTGTTTGGTTAACCAAGACTCAAGGTCGGAGGAACAACTTTGTGTATTTCCTAAAAAGAAAGTACAATATCATTCATCATTTGTTATTGTTTGTGGATCAATCATTTAGTAAATAACAGTCACCAAAATGAGCATGCTTGCATTGTCACAGCAGCTGCAACAGCAGCAACAAAATCAACAGCAACAGGTCAGCAATCTGCTGAAGAAGCGAGGCCGGCCTCCATCTAGCGGCACCCCCAGTCCTGGAGGCAGCACTAGTGCAGAGTTCCGTACCCCTACCCCCAAGAGCAAGTCCCCAGCCCCTGGCAGTGGCCAAAGTTCCAAGACCCGACCCACCCGCTCCAACAGTATGGAGGGACAGGTGATGGAGGGACTGCCTCGTAAGTTGACAAGTGTATGATTACTGTGTGTGTTTTTGACATGTAGTTGGCAACTTTGTTTTTTTGCTGTTGTGAAATTTAGCATCTGAATTTGTTCACATGTATCTTGATATGCCTGTTAACTTGAATAGTGTTTGCTTCACAACTCTGTCTTCAGTAGTCTGTATCAAGAGCAACCTGTAACTAACCATGTTTTGTCCAGGCTCAATGAATTTGTTTGACACTGTAAAGATCTGGGTTAGAAATGGTCTTCAGCAACACATAGAGGCGGCTAGCGTCATTAGGTCCTTAGACTCGCGGAGTTGGTTGACACGTTATCGTATCCAATTGCATAGATTGATGCTCATGCTGTTGACCACTGAATTTTCTGGTTCAGACCCCATTTTTCACAGACTGCTGCCACATAGCTGGAATATTGCTGAGTGCGGCATAAAACAACATACAGACAACATGAATTGGTTTGATAGTCTCTCATTGTACACTGATGGCATGGGGCTCTATTTATAATGACTGGTTTGAACATGATTACTCACAGGCTGCAGTCATTTATTGTGTGGTATGTCCTTGTAGCAAAACTGCATTGTTTGTCACTCCTTTGGCATGTATTCATGGTATGAGTTGAAACAGTGGTTTTGCTTCATAACTTTTAAAAAAATTACCACATGGACTCTTGAAGGTGACTTGTAAAGTAAGTCATTGATGTTTCAGCAAAGAGACTTACACGAAGAAGTTCTGGCATCACAGAAACCTCAGATACAGTTTCACATGGTAAGCAGATCTCTAATAATCTTTCTGTAAGATAATACCATTGACCGAGATGCCAACCACTCCGATTTTGGCGAAGTCGCTCCTATTTTCAAATACAGAATCCGCTCTTTTTAGAAAAAAATCTGAATTATATTTTTAAGGTATACAGTTTCATAAGTCAGTGGTGATTTATTGTAGTCGACACCGATAAAAGCATTCGGAAGCTTAATGTGTGTTGTTTTGGGTCTCAATTGTGTATTTTGCGTGTTATGGATGACGAAGTTTTTCTGAATGCAAGTGAAACAAAATAAGGAAAACAAAACCAACTCTGCTTTGGTTAGATTCAGGGTTGACATCTTTGCATTAAACCCAGTAGGGATTCATGGTTAGAATAGGTTCCCACCAACCTGTGTTGATCATTGGTAGATGGATCGGGTGGTCAGGCTCATCTCGCCCAGATGATGTTCCTCACAGAACAAATCACTGTATGTTTGGTCCACACTTGCTTACAGACAGATTACAGCGAACTCTCAATACAGATGTACTGATACTGGAAACCGTGGTTTGTACAGTGTGTGGCCATATTATTATGTACAAACATGGCGGACCGATTGTTGACTACAAATTTACACGGGAGTTCAAAGTGTCATAACTCGTTAAATATAAACAGTCTTACCTCAAAATTTTGTGATGTGTCCCTTGTTCCTTATTATTTTCAACATCCGCCTTGGAATCGATGAATAAAGATGTCCCGCACTTCGTGTTTCTTCGGCGTCCCTGAAGTCTATTCTTCAGGTAGAGCCAACATTTCTCAATAATATTTGCGTCACAACATTCCGACATTCATTTTGTAGCTTGTAATCCTGAACGACACGGGCCCGATGTACAGGGGCGTTGTCATCTTGGAAGATGTACCAGTTTCCTGGAAAATGTCTGGCTATATCAAAGCATATCATCGAGGATTTCTGTGTATTTCCCAGCATTTATGTTGCTATTAACAACACAAATGGTACCAACACCATGCCAGGTGATACAACCCCACACCATCAAACTGAGGCGTGGCTGTCGTCCCGAACAAAGACATTGCGGGAGGTATTCCTCACTGGGCTGTCTCCAAACAAAAACATGATTGTTTTCCCCAATGATAATTTTACACTCGTCAGAGAAGATTACTCGATTCCAGTAATTGTTCACTGTACGATATCGTTGCCCCCTTACCCGACCAAACGATTTCTGACATTATAGTCACGAATTCGGATTTTCTTTCTAACAACACATCTATGAAATTAATTTTCATATAATCGTCTCCTTACAGCCCTCACCGATACACGTGTAGCCCTATCGTTGTTCAAATTCTCAGTTATTTCACCCAAAGGTGAAATTTTATTGTCTCTGACCAACCTCAAAAGTTGTCTTTTGACCCGAGTCAGTTTTCTCATACGTCCTGTTCTGGCAGGATTCTCGTCTGATCCACATCGATTAACCCATTCAACACCATAGGCCGGAAAACCGCCACAACGTCACGAGTCCCCAGACACCGTAGGCCGGTAAACCAGCCAGGCAGTAGTCGCATCAAAATGATATTAATTTTAGGAACCTACCTAACGTATGATTCATTTATTAAATCTATCACTTTTCACAATGTCTGAAAACACTTATTACATTTCAAATGACCATATATTATCGACAGAATTAGAATTATAAACTATTTTTCGCAATGTTACTGAAAAAATAAATTCTCGGACGCATGCTTCGGCAACGGGTCCACATCAAAGTTGTCAAAGAGCAAAGTAATGATGTTTCGAGATAATAATTAAACAAACTGAATAAACTAAAGAATGAAACCAATAACAGTACTCACAAAAGTTGTCAAACGTACATTACAACTTACTATTTCCATCTTTTTTGTGCGATCGTGTAATGTAATTCAAGTGACATCTCGGCTTTCGTCGCCTTGAACTTAGCGCTTGTACATGATGTTTAATGCTAAAATATATGCATGAAGTATTTTTGTCACAGGTCATAACCTAGCACGATACGTCCACTAAGTTCCATAATATACGTATAGGTGGTGATTTTTTGCGTAACACGTTCAGAACAGCATGATTTTACCCAAAACTTTCGTCTGAATCTAAAAGTTTTCGTGTACGAGGACGGTATCCATTGCTGTAATATGATTGGCTGCCTTAGGTCACGTGCTTGATATTGACCAATCACGATCCTCATAGCAGACTGTGGCAGAAAAGGGTCATTAGAAACCAATCTTTATCCAATAAAATCGCTTCTTACAACTGCGAAAATACTCTCGGCAAGGGTACAGTGATAATGTTGATGGTCAGAGCTTTTGAACGATACCAGCCATCAAATGAATTGCCTCACGTTATTCATACGAAGCTTCCAAAACGGAGGTATTTCCCGCTGTTGTACCACGCTACCAAGCGGAAAGCCACTGATATCGAGAAATAGACGACCATACATATTATTGAGAAATCGTAAAAATGAAAACATAAAAGAAAAAGGTATTGGGATATTATGACATGTTACAAATGGAAAAAATCGCCTCATTTTTGGCCCCCATCACAGTTTATTTGGACATTATAAATGTGTAAGCTTGCAATTTTCATTAAATATTAACTTATTTATGTTGTAGTTGTATTATTTGAATAATATGATAAAAAATAAATTTCATATTTATAAACAGTAGGATTAGACCTTTCAAATGGTATATGATATGTAGTAGCAATAGAGTTTTACAAGCTGATATTTTCCTTTATAAACAGGCTTCATCTATGACCTCAGAGTCTCTGGGAACTCGGTATCATGGCAGTAAATGCCTCTGGTTGACTGGTGTTGAAAGAGTTCAACCGCTTTACCACCGAATATATGCTGCTTCGAGGAATCTTGCAATGTTAGAACATTTTTCGCCACTTTGAAATTTGTTTGCAATTAATTTCTTAAGTGGCTACGACAAATCAGCTGATTTCCCCATTGTTGCCGGAAATAGCCAGAATATGTAGCAGACGAAAAATAGATTAAAATTAGAGTCACTTGACAGACACGTGCCTTCATGGTCGATCATGTGACAAAATATTACGACGATACGCTGGTGTCGTTTTTGAGTAGCAGCATTTTAAAAACGCTATACACGATATCAATGCCGTTACAATTGTGTGTAATAATATGGCCACGGGCTGTATATTATAGATGTGAAGCCATGTACTGTAGTGTAATGATTTTATGTCCTGAATGTTTCAGCGAGTGATGAAAGCAGTGACTCAGACAGTGATGAACTAGAACAAAAGATTGTTGTGGTGGTTGAGGAGCATAAATTGGAAAAAGACAATGATGAATTTGATGTGAAGGAGTCTGAGCATGACACCAGCATTGAGGAGGAACCTCCTGAGGAAGAGCATGACACAAGTCTGGAGGAAAAGGACACTGATGTTAGTCGGGATGGAGAACTTGATCTGGTTACAGCAGAGGAAGAATCGTTGTTACAGTGCACAGAGGAAATGTTGAAGTCAGAGGAAGAAGACATGGAACATGGAGAGGAACAGATCAGTCCATCCTTGGAACCAGAGCCTGCAAAGGTTGTGGCTGAGGAGGTAGAGCAAGTTTCTGAGGTCATTGAGGTTAAAGAAAATCCGGTTGTGATTGAGGAACCCAAGAAAATAACACCAACTGAGAAGAAAGAGGAAATTGAGGAGAAAGCTATGGAGAAGGATTCTGCTCCAGAACTTGTGGCTGAGAAACCATTCAAGGAATTGGTGACAAAATGTGTAGATGGGAAAACAGACACAGCTGCTGATGAGGCACGGTACGAAGCTTCAGAAGCTTTGCTGCAAATGCCAGTTCTTCATGAAGCTTTCAAAAAGTTGCCTGAAGAACCAAAAGAGATTGTGTCAGAGGTAAAGAAACAGGAACCTTTGCCAATGCCTGAGATTAAGAAGATTGAACCTGAAGTGCCAAAGAAGGAGAAGGAAGTAGAGAAGAAGGAACGGGGAAGGAAACAAAAGAAAGATGTGAAAGAAGGAAAGAAACAGAAAGTTGTTGAACAGGTTGTGATGGAAACCAAACCTGCAGAACCTCATGTAATGACACCTCAGGAAGCCAGGATGAAGGCTGCAATGGATTTGTATGACTTCCAGGGATTTGAAGAACCAGAAGAGTTGGTGTTGAGGCGGGATAAGAAGTCAGATCTCCTGGGTAGGAGGTTCCTGACCATTGACAAGGAGGTCAAGCCTGATGTCCAAGAAGGTGAAGAAACAGAGAAGAAGAAGGTTAAGAAGAAAGTCAAGAAGAAAGTCATCTCGGAAGAAGATGGAAAGAAGGAGATTGATTCGAAGGAGGTTGTTAGTGAAAGTAGGAAGGAGAGTGAAAAGAAAGAGACAGAAGTGAAAAAGGAATCTGTAAAGGAAAGTGCTAAAGTGAAGGGTCTGAAAGGGGAAAGGTGTGCTAAAAAAGATTCTAAAAAGCTTAAAGATGTGAAAGTTAGTGACACTGAACCAACTGAGAGTGGTGGTAAAGAGAAAAAAGAAAAACGTCCTCGATCAAGGTCACCAAGTCCAGTTGACACTTGCTCAAAAGTTCTAAAAATTGAACCTGTGTGTTCCTTGCCAAAACCAAGTACAAGTGCTGAAACTGTCTCCAATGTCAACGATATACCTAAAGAAGCTGAGCCTGTTGCTGAGTTAAATGTGAACACTATGCTGGACAATACTCCACCCACCACTCCAGAGCATGAGCTGAATGAGGCTGAACCTGCAGCCCCGATCAGGACAAATGAAGCTCGGGCTGAAATGAAAGACAGTGTGCCTGTAGAACGGACAGCTAAACTCCGTAGTGAGTCCCCATCAGTTGGGGAGTGCAGTGCAAGCTCCTTAGAGGTTAATGAAAACAACAGTGCTCTGCCAACTTCTGAAAGTAGTAACGATGTGGAAGTAGCATCTGTGGCCATTGGCAAGAGGAAAAGGGAGTCTGTAGACACTACACCATCCAAGAAGAAGAAGCGTGTTAGTAAAGGTGGAAAGGCAGTAGAGAAGAAGATAAAGACAGTTCAAAGTAAGTGTCATTGTTTATAAAGTAATTCTGATTTGAACTTAATTGGTAGATCAATTATACTTAAAATTGTTAGAAATGAATTCTACTGCTTCTTTCATGTCTAAAGTGTAATTGGATGTGATTTATGTGAATGTATTGATCAGGGCAGCTTAGTAATGACATAGGGGTGGTGGGGTAGCTTATGGTTCAACGTTCGCTCATGATGCGGAGAACTCGGGTTCTATGACCCACATGGGTACAATGTATGAAACCCATTTCTGGTGTCCCCCGCTGTGATAATGCTGTAATATTGCTAACAGCGGCGTAAAACTAAACTCACTCAGTAATCACATAGGAATGGTACTGTGCATATCACAATGATTTGGGCCATCATGGGGTAACCCTTTACACAGGTTCTGTCAATGTTCTCACAATCTTATTTGACATAAAGTTAGTTCTTTGATTAGGTGTTTAAGCTGGTAAAAATATTACTGAATCTGAACAGGATTGGAAGCCAATATTACCATACTCACAGTGCTCGTTGTTAGCATATTGCTTGCATCTGAGCAGGTTTTGTTGTCGTTACACATGTGATACGGTGTTTTTATTGGCCACAGACAATATGAGATGCCTTGATTAAATATAAGCCATAAACACATTTATATGTTAAATCTATTAAAGGTAGAGGTTGTAAAGTATGAAAATATAGAAATGAACTGAAATGACTTGTTGACTGTCTGCTCTGCTTGGTCTCTCCACCAAGGAGTTACCTCCCATTGATGGAATCTGCTGGAATACATCGTGTAGATCTCCAGAACACTCATGTTTCACTGTTTTCAATGGTCTGTCTTTCCTGGATGTGAAAGCTGCAGTGTTCAAAGCCCATATGTGTAGGGATTTTTCCTGTATTACCTCCGGTGTGTTGCAGGCAGTGATAGTGATGAAACCAACACAGTGAAACAGCCAAGTCCAGTCCACATTCCTGGACCAAGCTCCCCTATGAAGATGCCAGAATCTGCTCAAACCAGGTCCCCCCGACCTCCCAAATACAACTTCAACATTGGTGAGCTGTACTACATTGTTTACAAAGGTTAACATAACTAATGTGTACAAATGGGATTGGGAGGAAGCATTCAAGCACTTTTCGTTCTAGGTAAATGGTACACTTAAAGTCAATGTGTAGCCTTCGATATGATACTGGATACTGACCTTTAGACCATGCCAGTCATGTTGCCATGTCCCTTCGTGTTGTTTATTTTACTCAGTAATATTTCAGTACCTTCTGTTTTATTCAGCATCTCTGTAGTTCTCTTGCCAAACATAGTATTGTTTCACAAACTAGTTTGCACAAAGTGTGTGTGTGTGTGTTTGGCTCTCTTTGGCTCCTATGAGCAATTGAGTAGCTTTTGTTATTTCTGTTTACTTGATATTTCAGAGGAGGGCAAGTACTTGGAGGGAGAAAAGAGGATAGAGTTCCTCATAGACAAGATGCAAGAAATTCGCAAAATCTATATGAATCTCAAACAGGAGGTAGCATGTATTGATAGACGGAGGAAACGTGCAAAGCGGAAAGAAAGAGAAAGTAAGTCCATCTGTCTGTCATTCCCTGTTTCTGTGGGCTGAAAGTCTTCAGCTTTGCCTTGTTACTTAAATTGTGTTGTAGTGGTGATTGAAGAGGACTGATAGATGTTAATGAACAGTAGTTATAAGTGAAGATGTTACTTTGGAGATTCTCTACAAAACTGGTAGTCATTTGATTGAGTAACCCTTAATTATAGTGTCACTGAAGGAATCCCCAAGGGATTATGAATAACTGGATAGATATTTTGAAAGAAATCAACCCAGAAAATGTTTCTTGTAGAGCAGATAGAACATAGTATTAAGCAACACTTACCTTTGCCTCCTTTCTATCATCTACTTGCAGTAGTAGACATGGTCTAGCAACAATTTCCCTGTAGTTAGTTGGGGAAGTTGTTGAGAAACTGTTGATATTTTGGGAACTTTTCAAGTGATTATATGTAGACATAACATGTGCAGTGTTTTCCAAAACAGAAAAAACCCGACCATTATGCTTCATCATCTTAGATGATAAGTGTGTTTGTGTTTCAGATTCCCAGTCATCCCAAATGGACTGCGACAGTTCATGAAACAAGTCAGTGTGCCACCAAGGTCAAACACATGGTCAGGTGTCACCACGAACTTTCATCCACAACCTAGATTTTTAACATTCATTCATATTATGTCATTGTCGTCATCATATCATCTCTTCCAGTAAATCATTCAAAAACATCATTATCATTATCATCACTGCATCAGAAACCCCAGTCACTGCTCATGCTGAGCTCCGTGTGAAGAACTGATACTCATTCATGATTCCAGTAGTCTCATTCAGTTGTTGTTTGTTTATCATCAGTAACCGTGGTAACATTTGTGCAATTTTCTGTCAGTTGAACTTTGAAATTGAGTGAGGTGCAAGTCCAAAACTTGATAATGAAATGGATATTATCAGTAAATGTGGAAGGATTGAGTTGCAGATGGAGTTGATTTATGGATTTCAACTCGTTTGTTCTTTCAAAGCTACAATTTGGTACAGATTGTAGTAACTTTGCCATGTTTGTTTGTCTGCTAGAGCCATGTAACATGTTATAGTTGGTTTTACAATGGTGGAACATCTTGTCATACTGTCATAGGTTTGAACAAATATGGAAAAGCCTGTATGCATCGAAGAAAGTATGCAAAATATCAGTGACACCAGCTGTAACTTCATACTTGAAATTGCTAACACAGTAGCCAGTGCTATCCACAATGATATTTTAGGAAATATAATTTGTTATTTATTAACACCAGTGGTGAACTTGCTGTAAATTTAGGAGCCAGTATAATGTAAATGAGACTCTACTACCCTTGGGATATCTTAACATTAGACTGATTCAGGGTAGCTGACTAGTGGTATCCAGGAGCCTCATGGTGTACAATCCCTCTGTTGGTTTTGTTTTAATGGATTTTGTGGGGAAAAAACCCTGCAATGTGGTTGTTTCATGTGAAGAATTGAACTGTTGAATCTGATTGCAACCTAAGTAGAATCTTGTGCATAGCTAACCAGGAGTATCGTAACAATGGTAACACATCTTTATATTTCTGTAACTACAAAATGGTGATGAAAAGGTGTATAATCTGTAGTAAAATCATCTCAAAGTGCTTTCAAAGTTTACCCAAACAGAAGAAAACTGTTTTCTTGAACAGCAATACTATGGATCCATTGCCATGACTTCTTCTTCCACACTGAGAACCAATTCTATTTTGTATAGTTTTACATGCTGGTTATTGTACATGTTGTGTGATGTGCATGTAGACTGTTGGAGGGGGGACATGGTCCATGTGGCTGGCACCTTCGTGTGCTGGCTCCTCAGATTGTGTATGAAATACACAGGAAATGTTCTTTGATGATGTGTACATGATGTATCTTGCCCTGATTAAAGTGCTCTTGAAAGGCCATACATGTTATATAATGTTACAGTTATATGTACCACAGTGTTTCATTTCATTCAGTGTTACACCTTCTGAAATGGTGTTTACTGTAATCAACATGTTTAGTTCCTCAGTTTTCACTATATTCAGAGATGGACTTGACTTGATGACTATGTTATCTGGTATGTGCCAGTATGTCTCAATTTGGGCTCTTGTGGGAACATGATAAAGGCAGTCAAACTGTGCATGTTAAAGGCAAGGCCATCTTATGGAAACATAAGACAGAGAAATAGGGCTGTCGTCTGCCAGTCTTGTACACCCACTACCTATAACGAATTGTTACTAAATAGCTGAAACAATGCTAATGCCACATCATATTTGTACCCATTCCTACATATCGTATAACCATTTGTGGCCTGATTACCTGTCTGCATGCAGGAAGGGAGCACAGTGCCAAGTGCTGTGTCACCATTTGTGGCCTGATTACCTGTCTGCATGCAGGAAGGGAGCACAGTGCCAAGTTCTGTATCACTATTTGTGGCCTGATTACCTGTCTGCATGCAGGAAGGGAGCACAGTGCCAAGTTCTGTATCACCATTTGTGGCCTGATTATCTGTCTGCATGCAGGAAGGGAGCACAGTGCCAAGTGCTGTATCACCATTTGTGGCCTGATTACCTGTCTGCATGCAGGAAGGGGGCACAGTGCCAAGTGCTGTATCACTATTTGTGGCCTGATTACCTGTCTGCATGCAGGAAGGGAGCACAGTGCCAAGTGCTGTATCACTATTTGTGGCCTGATTACCTGTCTGCATGCAGGAAGGGAGCACAGTGCCAAGTGCTGTATCACCATTTGTGGCCTGATTACCTGTCTGCATGCAGGAAGGGAGCACAGTGCCAAGTGCTGTATCACTATTTGTGGCCTGATTATCTGTCTGCATGCAGGAAGGGGGCACAGTGCCAAGTGCTGTATCACCATTTGTGGCCTGATTATCTGTCTGCATGCAGGAAGGGAGCACAGTGCCAAGTGCTGTATCACCATTTGTGGCCTGATTATCTGTCTGCATGCAGGAAGGGAGCACAGTGCCAAGTGCTGTATCACCATTTGTGGCCTGATTATCTGTCTGCATGCAGGAAGGGAGCACAGTGCCAAGTGCTGTATCACCATTTGTGGCCTGATTATCTGTCTGCATGCAGGAAGGGAGCACAGTGCCAAGTTCTGTGTCACTATTTGTGGCCTGATTACCTGTCTGCATGCAGGAAGGGAGCACAGTGCCAAGTGCTGTATCACCATTTGTGGCCTGATTACCTGTCTGCATGCAGGAAGGGGGCACAGTGCCTAGTGCTGTATCACCATTTGTGGCCTGATTACCTGTCTGCATGCAGGAAGGGAGCACAGTGCCAAGTGCTGTATCACCATTTGTGGCCTGATTACCTGTCTGCATGCAGGAAGGGAGCACAGTGCCAAGTGCTGTATCACCATTTGTGGCCTGATTACCTGTCTGCATGCAGGAAGGGAGCACAGTGCCAAGTTCTGTCACTATTTGTGGCCTGATTACCTGTCTGCATGCAGGAAGGGAGCACAGTGCCAAGTGCTGTATCACCATTTGTGGCCTGATTACCTGTCTGCATGCAGGAAGGGAGCACAGTGCCAAGTTCTGTGTCACTATTTGTGGCCTGATTACCTGTCTGCATGCAGGAAGGGAGCACAGTGCCAAGTGCTGTATCACCATTTGTGGCCTGATTACCTGTCTGCATGCAGGAAGGGAGCACAGTGCCAAGTGCTGTATCACCATTTGCATCCTTGAGTCACACAAAGTTCTTCAGGAACAACAAAATATCATATACAGTTTTTTGGGGGGATATTCTTAAGAGTAAATAATGATTTAACAGAGTTTTCAAATAGTGGCTGTTTTCTCATCTATTTTAGTTGTCATTTCAAAGCCTACGATCAAGGTCATATTGTCCTGTTTGAAACAGAGACATTATTGTAATTTACCTAATCATTAATGGATCAAAAGCAAATATACATGTGAAGTGTACGCACTTATGGACTTGTATGTGAACAGAAAAACACCTGGAACTAAATATGTTGAATACATTCTTGAGGTTGTCATGGTTTCAAATGCGTTGAAGTAATGTTTTATATGTACACATGAGTACAAATCTTCATGTTTAATCACATAACACCATGACTACCAAACTGATATACCGATTCTTCAAGGTCGAGCTCATTAAGAATGAAATAGACAATGTCGGCTATGTATATTTCTGCTACATTTTTGAATCCATGGTTATGAAATAGCAGTCTGTGATGTGTGTGTATAGAATTGGCTATATTGTGTTTAGTTCTGCATACCATTCAGCACAAAGAACGTCAAGATTGTATCAAAACCATATTTTATTTCTTTGCATTTATTGGTTCAGTATTTCATTCATGCCATGTACTCAACTTAGTCCACAACTGATGTAGGTCACTGGATTTAGTATTGTTCAAAACGTATGCAGTCTCTCATCACACCCTCCGAACAGATTTGATCTTGGTTTAACGATCAGTGTTTTGTTTGTTTTGTGACTGTTGGTTGATCGATTAAAGTGCTATGATTTACCCAGAGTTCAATCTTTCTAGTCTTGCAGTGGTTACAGACATTCTTGTTAGAACCAAGGCCAATTTGTATCACAACTTGAACAGCTGAAAAATCTTCCATCGTTTGTACATCGTGTTTGCAATATTGAATATTCAGCTATTTTTGCATGTTGCCAACTTATCTTTTGATAGAGGCAGGCCTTTGAATTAAGCCTGTTCACAAATGAAATCTCATAAAAATATGTACACGATATATTGTCAAACATTCCAATCTGTGATTTAGTAAGATTGCACATTTTGAAAAATATGGTGTTTTTATTTGTCGTAATTATATATTTTCAAAGCAGTAGCCTTCTAGAAGTAGCCACCAAGTGACTGAAACACAAAACTGTTCAAATAACGCGAAAGAGTATCATGTCAATCATGACTAGTCATCAGTGGGTCTAACCTATTAAGTCACCATGTACTGTTTCTCAAAACAGTTACCAGTAAGAAGGTAACCTTGACAAATAACCACTGGAAGCCTTAAGATGAAATATATGAGTATTATCAGGATTATTGGTGAGTGTAAAGTAATAATTGACTGTTTTTACATCACAACAAAGATAATGTGTCATGGTGTATGTGAGTGTACCACCCATCTTTGTGGATGAGGAGGACTAAAGTATGTAGATTAAGTTACCACTTCCATGTGCCTATTCACTTCACCTGGTGGCTTACAAATGAGCTTGTGTCAAATATTTGTGGGGCTTATGGTTATGCTCCATTACATTTTTTGTGTTTGAAATTTGAATAAATTTGAAGATTACAGTGTCACATGTTCATTTGAACAGTGGTCGAGATTTCTAGTACCTGTGTAAGCTATGTTCAGTTTGTTCATGCTGGTATTTGTAGGGCTGTTACAAAGCGTTGTCTTTGTGTCTTCCTGATGAGATGTAAAGGGGTATTTTTAGTGGAGGTAAGCTCTGGTAGTGAAACGTGTAAATCTGTTGAAAGCAGATATGTGGTGTGCAGCTGCTGAAGTTGGTTTGGGCTTCATAATGCTGAAGAGCATTTTGTGTTTTAATGCAAATTATCGTGGAAAAGGGCTAGGCCAACTACTTCCACAGTGTCATCTTAATGCGTAGTCTGTGTTATTTGTTGATGATTGTCTTAATCATAGGGATGCTTTGTGCAACTGTTTTGTAAATAGTCTGTCCTGATGTATTTATTTTTGAATATATTTGTGACATGATTGTTGAAGAAACCTGAAGTATAACGTTGGCTTTTGGTAGCCTAGTGGGGGGAGTAGTTGCTTATTATGTCAAAGGTCACTTTGTGACCCCATGTTGAGTCAGGAATTTTGCTAAAAGAAGGGTAAGATACACTTTCTAAATTCAATACATATTTAGATTAAACAGTTCTTGATTACCACATTACAAGTCATTAAACATTACAGAATATGCAGGAAACTAATTGTAATGTTCCAACACTTCATCAGTAGCTGTACACCCGTTGTTCCCTTTGTTACAGTCAATGGTTACCTCTTTGCTGGAGGGGCGGTGGGGTAGCCTAGTTGTTAAAGCGTTGGCTCGTCACGCCGAAGACCCAGGTTCGAATCCCCACATGGGTACAATGTGTGAAGCCCATTTCTGGTGTCCCCTGCCGTGATGTTGCTGGAATATTGCTAAAAGCGGCGTAAAACCAAAACTCAGTCAGTCAGTCTTTGCTGGACCTACTCATAGCAGGCTGGCAGTCAAAGGTCTGTCGCTTTCATACATAGTGCCTGTGATTTCAGACACCCTTCCCTACCCTCACCCCCGACCCCCCTCCCAATGTGAAGCTTGTTTGATTGCTAGGACTCTTAATATGTGATTTCAAACACCCTTCCCCACTCACCCCCAACCCCCCTCCCAATGTGAAGCTTGTTTGATTGCTAGGACTCTTAATATGTGATTTCAGACAACCTTCCCTACCCTCACCCCGACCCACCTCCCAATGTGAAGCTTGTTTGATTGCTAGGACTCTTAATATGTGATTTCAAACACCCTTCCCTACCCTCACCCCCAACCCCCCTCCCAATGTGAAGCTTGTTTGATTGCTAGGACTCTTAATATGTGATTTCAGACACCCTTCCTCCCCAACCCCTTCCAATGTGAAGCTTGTTTGATTGCTAGGACTCTTAATATGTGATTTCAAACACCCTTCCCTACCCTCACCCCAACCCCCTCCCAATGTGAAGCTTGTTTGATTGCTAGGACTCTTAATATGTGATTTCAAACACCCTTCCCTCCCCACCCCCCTCCCAATGTGAAGCTTGTTTGATTGCTAGGACTCTTAATATGTGATTTCAGACACCCTTCCCTCCCCAACCCCCTCCCAATGTGAAGCTTGTTTGATTGCTAGGACTCTTAATATGTGATTTCAAACACCCTTCCCTCCCCAACCCCCTCCCAATGTGAAGCTTGTTTGATTGCTAGGACTCTTAATACGTGATTTCAGACACCCTTCCCTACCCTCACCCCTTCGACCCCCTCCCAATGTGAAGCTTGTTTGATTGCTAGGACTCTTAATATGTGATTTCAGACACCCTTCCCTCCCTCAACCCCCTCCCAATGTGAAGCTTGTTTGATTGCTAGGACTCTTAATATGTGATTTCAGCCACCCTTCCTTACCCTCACCCCCAACCCCTTCCCAATGTGAAGCTTGTTTGATTGCTAGGACTCTTAATATGTGATTTCAGACACCCTTCCCTACCCTCACCCCAACCCCCTCCCAATGTGAAGCTTGTTTGATTGCTAGGACTCTTAATATGTGATTTCAGACACCCTTCCCTACCCTCACCCCCCTCCCAATGTGAAGCTTGTTTGATTGCTAGAACTCTGCAATATGTGATTTCAGAGACTTGTGAACAACTATCTGGAATGAACAAAGTTTAACTATTTTAAATGGATGTATTTCTTGTATAGATATATTTCAGTGTTCAACAGGAAATTGTGATGTTGAACTACTTCCATGGCAGTATTTTGAGAAAATGTCAATCATTACTCATATGATATGTAAGGAGATATTTTCAGTGTTTTATATACCCACAATTGCTTACAAAGCAACAATAATTACTCCCTTATGCACAGATTCTAGGTAAGGCATTGTTCTACAAACTGATTGAAATGTACTGATCATTATGCACTTTTAGTACCATCTAGATTGCCATTGTTTTAGCCCATGTTTTATTTGTATAAAACTAAAATAACCCTGTTTAGCAGATTTTTGTCTGTGAATGCCACCCTTGTTAGAATATGTTTTAGTGAGAATTTTGGATGTTTTAAAATGAATTTATAACAGTATTGATTCTGCCAAATGAGCCATACTTAGAATGTGTATGTGACCCTTGTCTGAACATTGTGAATACCAAGAGCTTTATTAGATACATATCTTGTGTATATAGCCGGTGTCAATAGAGACACGGTTTTACACACACCTATCGGGAACATTTTCCACTTACAGTATCCTTGTTAATTCATCCTACAAACCATTCACATTGAATAAAGTATTCCTGGAACTACAACCATAATGCTGCATTGGGTAGCTTTGAATCTTGTGGCCTTGGGTGCTACTCTCTGTTCCTAGTTATGTACTTTAGCCCTGCCAGGATACACTAAGTATTCTCCGATTCCCCTGAATTAGGTTCATTGGATTGGCAGTGTTTGCAGGTTTGCCAAAGTGCTAACTCTCTATAACTATCATCACATTTGCTGTTTTCCTGTAAAGATACTAAAGTACTGAAAATGTATTGGAAAAAAACTGACAGAACTTTTGTTTCTTGAGTTAGAGCAATTCATAAATACAAATTTAGTAAAAGAGAATGCACTTGGAGGCATCTGGGAACAACAACCGCACTACATCATGATAGATGTCAAGTGAACTTTCTGAGTCTGGACTTGCTGTGTGTCAGATTTGTGCTCTTGGATGTGGTAGGAGTAGTATGTATCATGTTAAATCAGAAGGATGTTTTCATATTTAAATGTTCTTGAGTGATATCAGTCATGGATTCTGTCTTTTTCCAGAAATCTAAATTTAGTTACAACCAGCTAACAACTGATTTAAGAATTGTTTTAATTTTTTTTGGGATTAAACTTAATGTGATAATAACCTCTTCAGTGTCCTATTGAAAAATTAGATCTGATATTTTGTTTAAATATATCTGCCCTAACCTACATGATTAAAATATTTGGAGTAATCTGTAGACAAATGGTAACCTTACATGAATTTAGCAGCCGGCCTGCTAATTTACGGAAAATGTCATGTTGATGAAATAGGTTTGGGCATGTTAGTATAGAGTGACTAGGCTTTGTATTGAGGATGCTGAACTTCCTTGATACAGTATCATTAAGTGAGAACAGTGGGAGGGTTATTTAGTACTTGTGGAGAGAGAGAGAGAGAGGACAGTGACCACATCTTGACATTCTACCCTCCATCCATTTTATAGTATTCAGTTGTCACCCACAGTAGTTCATGAAGTCAGACTGGTGCAATATGGGATAGTGCCTGAGCAGGGGGTGCCGTTCAAGGACAATTCCCTTGTAGATGTAGACATCCAAATATAAGGTTTTCCGAGTGAGAAGGATTGGTACTTGGGAGCAGATAATATTTGTTTGCTCGGTGGAAAGGAGTTTACATTTTGAGAACATTAACAAGAAACTGTTATTGTTAATGTGTTGAAAATGTCAAGATGTATTGGAATGAAGAAACATGTATGGAAGTCACAAGGGAAAATCAAATATTTTTATCGTTTGATTGTGGTTTGTTTCGGTGACTGCTATTGATACCAACCAATCCTTCACATGCTGCAAGGGTATTGTGGTACACCATATAACTAGGATTGGCCAGAAAGAAAGCCATTGTGCAACAGATGTACAAATACATTTGAGGATACATTTTCTCACAAGCAAAATCCAAAGCCAGACAAACCAGCTTAGACTGCAAGCACTGATATTTTGTGCGGAAATTTTGGAAGGTGGAGCTTCCCTACCAGCTTGATACTGCACCAGACTAAATCAGTACTTGATCAAGGCAGGTCCTGAGTCCAGTGTGAATCCTATGGTGTCCATCACGGTAAAATCAAACTAGAATTACACACCTGTAATTGATAATGATGAATGGTTTTACACCAAAAAGAAAGAATTATGAAAGTGACAAGCAGTGTTAAGCAATGAGGAGGGAAATCAACCTGACTATTCTTATACCATTGTTCCAAGAATGGCATGGTGAGTTGAGTTCATTGGAGTTCAAGAATTGAACATTTCTTGTATTCCAGTGGGTTTCAGTGGTGTGCTTATTGTTATGTAATATCATGCAGACATTCTCTGTGTTGAGCCTTCTCATATGTCCTTACGGACTTGTTTCATATGGATTGTCATTCTCCCAATTGTTTGTACAGAATATCCAAATTGATGATCTGCAATGCTACCTGGTATGTGTTGAACCATACAATGCACGATTACATAATTTATTCTTAGTCAATAAATCAAAATACCTCAGAACCATGTTCGTTGTTACTTGACATGATGGAGTAGATTTTCTTTTTACAAGAATTATGTTGTCAGTGTATGGATTCACCAATTTCTCTCCAAACCAATAAATATACACAAAGAACTTAATTAAGTACCCCCTGTATTTTTTAAATGAAAAATAAAAATAAATCTGCTTTCGTCGGACCAGTACACCTTTCCCCATGACCTCAAGTTCCAGCATGAAACAAAGCTAGTCGAGCTGTGTACTCTGGGGATAACAACGGACGTCTAATGGTCTTCTGGTTCTGGTTTACCCAACAATGAACTACCGGAAGTATAAACACAACCACTTCTTTCCTCTTTGCCCACTTGCCACTTGGCATTATATTCCAACGACAAAGAGTGTGCATATAAACAGGGTTTCAGACGCTTATACTCCAATTACCAGTTCCCTGATAATATTACAACTTCGGTCCATCAACGATTCCCTGTGTTTCCGGTTCCCGCCTTATTGTGTTTATCAAACTGTCCTTCATGCATATTCCAATGTGTGTAGTTTTTCGGTTTAAATAGTTTTCATAATAATAACATAAGTTAACTATTTTGAGTATAACTTGAGTTCAAGACAGCAGGGAGTTCGATACATCCAGTACTTCCAGGTCAGTGATAAATATAGTATCCGAGACTGGGACCCGAGTTCGATACAGCGACGTTCTGACTGTAGGTCTTATACCCGTGAAGATCCGGGTTAGAATGAACCTTCAGTAACCCATGCTTGTCGTACGAGGCGACTAACGGGATCGGGTGGTCAGGCTCGCTGGCTTGCTTGACACATGTCATCGGTTCCCAGTTGTGCAGGTCGATGCTCATGCTGTTGATCACTGGGTTGTCTGGTCCAGACTCGATTATTTACAGACCGCCACCATATAGCTGGAATATTGCTGAGTGCGGCGTAAAACTAAACTCACTCACTCACTCACTGTAGGTCTCATACTCTGTCACATCGTCTAAGGCACCGCAATTCGCTGTGCGGAGTTGCGTCCAGTGGGCGCACCGGAAACCCGATCGTGTCTAAACGAATCCCGGAAGCAAAACCAACGGTTGCATGTCATTAATGTACGTTTACAACATTCACGATACCACTAAACCATTGTAATAGACCAGACGCAGGTTTTAGGGCAACATTGGTCCAAATGCGACCGGCGCCTGAAATATGCCTCACGTAATGGACCCCCCAATATTATATACATGTGTTGTCTTTACACTGATTATAATCATCATTTATCACTACTTATGAATGTTAATTAGCTCAGTATGTAGCATGTGATATTCAATTTTCCCCAATCAGCAATAAAAAAAAAAAGCAGCTGAAAAATAGTTCACAATTTATTGACCTTTTAACATTTTAGTTATTTGTAACCTAAATTGATGTATGGGACCATGGGTAATGTTTTGGATCCTCTCTGACTCTATTACAACAGACCGGCGTCCTATAGCTTGAAAACTGATGAGTGCTGCGTTAAACAACAAACAAACTAAATCTTTGGTCAGTCAACATTCTGGCGGGTGATGGAGATGTTACATCTTCCCATGTAGGCCATGTTCACGTTCAAGGACAAATTGTATTGCTCTCACACGACACCTCACATGGTCCCAATTGTGTTCGGAAACGTTTTTAGAATATAAAATGAAATATATACTCTCCAAACAAAAAGGAAACGCATAGGTTATATTGATGTATGAAGTTTCAAATATTTTTCGAAATTGGTTTTTGATTGATACAATTTCGCCATTATAACTCTGGTTTGTGTACATGGAACGAAAGCACAGCGCAAAAATGCATCTTCGTAAACTTAAGTGCACATATACATTCGAAAGTGTCATCTGTTATAACAATGGCATAGAGAAAGAGTGGATCGCAATATGCACATGCAGCTAGTAATCGCGAGTAGGGACATTGCCTTAATAAGGTCGTGTGCTTTTAGACGGGCATTGGCATTTTTTAGCTAAATGAAAGAATATCGTTATGCGACTCGCTGCTGTAAATCTTAACATTACCATTGGACTCGCGAGGCTGGGGAGTCTCAATCTGTCGTTTCACGTCACCTCAATATTCACCAGCGTACCGTCGGTCGTTTATGGGACCGATATCAACAAACCGATTTTACTCAAGATCGGCCTGGAAGTGGTAGACCTCGGATTGCCACTGCAGCGCAGGATAGGTACATCCGGGTACTTCATTTTGCGGAATCGAACTGTCACAGCAAGTGCAAGTGCAGTGCCTGGTTTTATGAGAGTTTCGGCGCAAACCATTCGTAATCGTTTACGAGAGGCTCGACTTCGAGGACGAAGACCCTATTTTGGTCCTGTGCTGCGACGACTACATCTACGTCGACGGGTCCAGTGGTGCAATAACGCTCGATTCGATAACAAAACTGGCGACCACTATGGTTCAGTGACTTATCACGCTTTCTGACGTAACGGAAAAATACGTGTCTATCGACGTCGAAATGAACGTCTTGCCCAGAACTGTGTCGCCCAGGTTGACCGACATTGTGGTGAGAGTGTCATAATGTGGGAAGCGATATCCTACACGCAGAAAATTAATTTTGTGCGCCTTCAGGGCAATTTAACTGCTGTTCGGTACAGACACGAAATCTTAGGATTCACATGGTTCCGATCATTGACCGCCAGAAGGAGTTGTTAGCGCAAGATAATACCATGCCCCACACAGCACATGCCACTTTTCAGTATCTTCAGAATGAGAACGTTACAGTGCTGCCATGGCCTTACAATTCGCCCGACCTCAACCCCATCAGCATTTGTGGGATGACCTTGGCCGACACGTACGTGAACGTCAACCTTCGCCCCACACGTTAGATCAACTGTCGCAGGCACTGCAAGAGGAATGGGCCAGAATTCCACATGTTCGCATTCAAGTCCATGCCGAGACGGTGCAGTTCAGTTTTGGGGGCCATGGTGACCACAACAGATATTGAAGACTTATCTTTGAAAATTGTGCTGCTACTGATCCAGTATTACATGTGTTATCTATATTTTGCAGATTAAATTCCTTAAAATTAAGCTATGCGTTTCTTTTTTCGGAGACTATAGAAAATTAAAGACATTTTTATAATCTCTTCCTTAATGTAAAAATCAACACCAGCTTTTTACCATGAGGTCATGACTTCAACAAATACGTCCCAAAACGATGTTGTTGTAGTTGTAGGCCTACGGGTTGTTGTTGTAGTCGTAGTTGAGGAAGTTGTCTTTGACGTAGTGGGGCTCGTGGTCGTAGTGGATGAGGTTGTCCTAGACGTAGTGGGGCTCGTGGTTGTAGTTGAGGAGGTTGTCTTTGACGTAGTGGGGCTCGTGGTCGTAGTGGATGAGGTTGTCTTTGACGTAGTGGGGCTCGTGGTCGTAGTGGATGAGGTTGTCCTAGACGTAGTGGGGCTCGTGGTTGTAGTGGATGAGGTTGTCCTAGACGTCGTGGGGCTCGTGGTTGTAGTGGATGAGGTTGTCTTTGACGTAGTGGGGCTCGTGGTTGTAGTGGATGAGGTTGTCTTTGACGTAGTGGGGCTCGTGGTTGTAGTTGAGGAGGTTGTCTTTGACGTAGTGGGGCTCGTGGTCGTAGTTGAGGAGGTTGTCTTTGACGTAGTGGGGCTCGTGGTCGTAGTTGAGGAGGTTGTCCTAGACGTAGTGGGGCTCGTGGTCGTAGTTGATGAGGTTGTCCTAGACGTAGTGGGGCTCGTGGTTGTAGTGGATGAGGTTGTCTTTGACGTAGTGGGGCTCGTGGTCGTAGTGGAGGAGGTTGTCCTCGAAGTAGTAGGGCTCGTGGTCGTGGTTGAGGAGGTTGTCTTTGACGTAGTGGGGCTCGTGGTCGTAGTGGATGAGGTTGTCCTAGACGTAGTGGGGCTCGTGGTCGTAGTTGAGGAGGTTGTCTTTGACGTAGTAGGGCTCGTGGTCGTAGTTGAGGAGGTTGTCCTAGACGTAGTAGGGCTCGTGGTTGTAGTTGAGGAGGTTGTCATCGACGTGGTGGGACTCGTGGTCGTAGTAGAGGAGGTTGTCCTAGAGGTAGTGGGGCTTGTAGTCGTAGTTGTAGTAGTTGTAGTTGTGACCGGTCGTTTTATGAAGGACGGAGCTGACAGACCTCCCATCGTTATAGAAGGAAGAACAGGAGCTGCAATACCGGGACTTGGAGCATTAGTGACAGCCGGCCCAGTTACAGAACCGACACCTGTTGGAGCGGAAGGTACTACAACAGGCTTCACGGATGGGATTGAAGGTAGGACAAGCCCGGTAAACGGGTTTGACATTGCTGCAAACAAGAGCAAAGAAAACGGATCAAAGTTAACTTAATGCTTTGGACGATATATAGTATCAAACGCTTGCCTGAGATAATAGCCATGAAGGTTCCCGTAATAAAATCCACAAGTTCGTTAAACAAAAACAGGGGTACACTTATATTAGGTTAAACCTAAATAGAGATTAGAAATTATCAGGAGTTAAGACTGGATAACTGGTAACTGGTCAACTGATAATACTTGTCAGATTGATTCAAGCAACACGGAAGCCTTATGTTTGGCTGCAAATGAAGCTTTTTCTAGTTTGATACCAGTACAATGTGTGTGATATTATTCGGTTTGAATAAATCTACGTAGGCCAATCACTTCTAATACCAGATCATGTCGACCCGTCAATACCCGGGTTAGAATTGGTTTTCAAGTAACCCATGCTTGTCGTAAGAGGCGACTAACGGGATCCGATGGTCAGGCTCGCTGACTTGTTTGACACATGACATCGTATCCCAATTGCGTAGATCGATGCTCATTATGTTGATCACTGGATTGTCTGGTCCAGACTTGATTAATTACAGATCGCTGCCATATAGCTGGGATATTGCTGAGTGCGGCGTTAAACAAACCCAACCAACCAACCAGATTAAGTCCTTTGTCAATTGTGTAGATCGATGCTCATGCTGTTGATCACTCGATTGTCTGGTCCAGAGTTGATTATTTACAGACCGC